ACTCAATGTTAGGCCATTTCCGGGTTGCCTTGGGCCCGCTCTGTTTCACTGAAAGCGAGTCCTCGTGCAAAACCTTTCATATGAAAATGAGTTTTCAAATTTGCATGAAAATGAACTTTAGGGGAAACACATTTTCATATGAATGGTTTCGCATAAAGACTCGTTTTGACATAGGCAAAAGGCAACTCGGAGCGCTCCATTTACTTTTTTTTCGTGTTTGAAGGCAAGTTGCAAGATGAATATAAACACTGTATCAGCTTGTTTGGTAAAATCCTTATATTTCTCTCAGTTTAATAATAACAATGTAAAATAATCTCCTAACACTCTTCAAAACACCTGTACTCAATTTCATCTTCAATTATTACATATAAATTACATTTTCTGGTAGTGAATAGTGCATGAATGCATATTTCAGCGGTAGGTCTATATTTCTTGTAAGGGTGAGAAGGGTTGAGAAGAAATAAGTGCGAAATGTTAGAATGGATTAACACACAGAAGACAACAAAAGCCTGATTCTGATATACTGACACATACCGTTTTTCCTTTCAAAAAATTCCGTCTTAATGTTGGGTTCCAAAACTACTCGGCCAGTAAACGAGCGAACAAAAACTGGTTTTTGATTGGTTTTTAATTGGACAACCATTTTGTTGGCTTATAAACTTGTTAGCCAATCACATAGTCAACAACTGCACGTGGCGTGCAAAAAATCAAAACACGACTATTTTGATTTCCTAGCCTTTGAACCAAGTAACAACGGCACGCTGTGAAGATACCCAATGGCATATTGAAAAAAGGTATGCTAATATTTCTTGCAAGATAAATTTTAATATTATACTTTCAAACTAGTTTCTCAATTTCAAATTTCAATATGGTCACTTAAAAATAACTTGCTAAACCATTTTCCTAAACTTTTGTAATCAGAGAAAAACAAGGATATAATTTATTTCAGAGACGTTCTGTAACTAACGTTTGAGTCTTTCGAGACTGTTGCGATGTCAGTGTTGTATGCGAGAAGCTCGTTAAAATGCGAAGCAAAGTGCTTGGTTCTATCTTGACCTTCTTTGAAAGGTTTGTTGTTTGCAAGAAAAAACAATCCAGACGGATATTTATGGTTGTACCACTAATAAAACTCTTATATACATTATAACAAATGGGAAAATAGGAAAATCTTGAAAGAGTATACAGGTATCTTACAATCGAACATATACAAATGGTGATACAGTCAGATAAGAAATTTAACGCGGTGGGCTCGGCAGAAAACGTTCTTCTGTCATGAAAATTGGAGCCAATTTTTCACTTCTAAATTTAGGATGTCCATTTCGGTGAACAGGTTTTCGTTAGCTTGCATCCGAGAAGTCCTGCAAAACAAAACAGACAACCAAATATCGGGTGAAATTGTTGTATTATCTAGAATAATCCAAGACGAGAAGCTAAGCTGCTGATCGAGTGTACAGAGCGAAGACGCCATCTTTTGGGCTAAACAAATTGTGCGTTGTGCCGCCCAACCTCTGGCTTACCGTCGTTCCCTGCCATAAAATTATGATAACAAGCCCTCCAAATCTTAGAGGGAAAAATTCTCGGGGTAATGAATTTTCCTCAACTCCGAAAATAAGCCTCAAAGAAGATTGTTTTCTATTTTATGTCGTTGTTGCATGTTCAGAGACTTACCCAAACGTTTTCAACACTGTGGAAGATAACCTTCAATTTTTATGCTCATCAGAAAATCTGATTTATTAGATAGTTTAGCACGTGCCGTTATTATTATTTTGTTTTAATCACTCATCATTTCTTCTTGTAAAATAAAGACACACACTTGATACCATCTCATCGGCTGAATGATAACAGTGAACAAAATAATTACATCGTTTTGAAAACGTTCACTCACATCATCATCGCTTCGTCTACGAATTGGAGAGATTATCCGCCTGCCGGAGTCGCTGTGATCAGATGCTAATGGCGACGACATGTCTTTTGGCTTTAATCTCGCAAATTCACCACTGCTGAACGATGTATGGAGCCTTTGATCCGTGTTACGAGAATATCGGCTCGTTAATGACTCCCCTAGGAAGAAAAAACAAAATTTTAATCAGTTTTTAAATTGACCTTGATGCCTAGACAAGATTTTATGCAGGTATATAAAAGTAATTTTTCCAAATGCAGTTTTCCTTTTTTGTTAAACGGAGATAACGGGATAATAGTTTTGTGGGAAGCATCCTGAAAAGTTTAGTCTAAATGTTTCAAGTTCGTCATTTGTAATCCGTGTTAATCTTTTTCATCCTTACCCATCTTTGTTCCTTTATGGATTACTATTATCTCTGATTTTTTTCTTCTTAGCTAACCCTTATTTTCAGGTCTCCTTCAATTTAAAAGTAATTTTGTTCGTGGTCAAAATAACTCAAACAACTGTATCTAAGCTTTTTTAAAAGACGATTTATTGTAAATCACTTACTGGACGCCGATCCAGTGACGTCTCTTTCTCTTCTGGTCGTTTCCTGTAACAATCTCTCCCTACAGGAAAAACACGGTAAGGTTAAATTTATAGACTGCGTTAAAAAGAAACTGATTTGCAATGGGTTTTCCTCATGGTCAAGTATACCTTTCATATTTCTCATTTGCTAGTTGTTTCTTTAATTTGGTCACTTCATCTTCAAGTCTTTCCGATGCTTTACGTAATGTGTTTACCTCTTGACGTTGGTAAGATCTAAAAGGGGACAAGAGAACCTTAATACGTGCTTAACTGCTGCAATTGTTGGAAATATGAAACATTGAAATGGAAGTAATGAACAAATTAGATAGAAATTGAGCAGTTTTCAATTGAGTGTCGTAAAACCAAAACCAAACCAATTACTTACCAATTAGACTATTCAGTAGATCTCACACCAAAACCAAAGTAATTGCTTGGTTTATACTTTCGACGCTAAAATTGAAAACCGCTCTATCAACCACTTCTTAAACCAAACTAAGCCAAATTAAAACGATGACGCCTGTTCAATCAAATCGATAAGGATGAAAATGGAAAAACAAACATGGAAAGTTGACATAATTTTTCGTCAGTCTTTCTACTCACTTTTCTTGATCTGTTTTCGTCAGTCTGTCTTTCAATCTGTCCACTTCTTCAATGGTGGTTTCTAGAGACTTCTTTCCAACATACTCCTGTAAAATGGTGTATTGTTTATAAAAATCAAGCAGTTCAAGGCAAGTACTCTGAATGAATTTTTACGGTTAGGGACGGATAGTGCCCGAGATCATTCGTTGTTGAAATATAACTAACAATCTTTAAATACGAAAAACCTTTTCTCTTTGCCTTGCTAGCACCCCTTCTAAACTTCTAACGGCTTCTTTTTCTGAAAACACCTATGAAAGAGACAGAAAACGAATTGTCTTGTAAATACTTTTGGTTTCATCTTAGGGACTGCAGGTGATTTTTGAAGAGCATTCAAAAACTAATCGCCAGTTGTTCTTCCACGATGTTACTACTCGTGGGTATGGAAAACAGCAGATTACTATAGAAGGTTCATTACATTATTTTAAGTCAGACCTTTTTTCGTAAATTGTCAGTTTCAGACTTGGCATCTTCAAGTAACTCACGCATCTGTGAAAAAAAAAAGGCAAACAGCAATTAAGCTAAAACCCGCGTGCTCTTGTTTTCGCCTTGTTTGTTCATGGGCGTGTTCGTACATCACAGTGAAAGTGATTGCCCTTTAACTTCCGGGTGTGGGCAATACATGCTAACGGTATCACTATGTGAAGTGTGAAGTTTTACGACTAACGTGTGAAGTGTTAACCTATAAAGTGTCAAGTGTCAACAGTGTGTAAAATGTGAAATGGTGCGTTATGCGTGAAAAGCTTAATGGTTCGAGAGGGGATTCTAACCTGTTCCTGATCTAAAGATTTTGCAGCCAGTTGTCTAGAGAGAGATTCTCGCGTTTGATCCAGTTTCATACAAAGTTCCCTGACTGCAGTAAGATCTTGCATCATATTCTCCTGCAAAAGAGAGGATAATTTCATGATCTACATGCTTTTTCCACAAAATGTCTACTTTCGGTTTAAGCAAGTTCTAATTATGTGTTACGTAATTTTCTCTGCAAAATGTGATGCAGCTCGATGCTAAGGCCGCGTCTACACTTCGTCCGGAGGAAATTGAAAACGCAACAATCACCGGTCATTTTGGATTTGTCTTTGGGAAACTCGGTCAGAGAAATCACATGATTATCGTGACGCTATTGTTTTCGAAAAGCTCCGTTTTCAAAATGTTTTCCGTCCACACGAAAACGAAACGCCGGCGTTTTTAAATTCCTCCGGTTTGAAGAGCTTTTTCGAAAAGCTCCGTTTTCGTGACGGATTAGTGTGGACGGTAGGCTTAACCGTACAAATAAAGCTACGTTGTCAAATTTCTCCGGCGCAGTGTGGACGGGACTTAAGTCTCGAACTGCGACTCAGCTTATTCGACATGGCCAAATATGTGGAAATCGTGGATATGTTCAAAACTAAAGTGCAATAAGAAACTTCATTGTCTGGCCAAATTGCATCCTGAGTTGTATTCTGATTCAGCTATGGTACGATGTCCGACTGTTCTTCCCGGTTCTGCTCAGCCCTTTTACCCAAATTACTCAATTTTTTTTAGCTGCCGATTCCTGGGATCGTACATATTTTGAATGATGTATACCGAACTAAAAACTCCTTCAAAACCACTCTTTACATTTTCCAAATTTAGCTTGATAAGAGTAAGCTTTCTCCTAAAACGGCCCGTGCAAGTTTCTGGGCTTTCTTTAAGTATATAACTATGGTGGACAAATTCAGCAGATACTCATGTTATGCAAACTCAATTTCCATTCATTTGGTAATTAATACCCTTGGGATTATGCAAATGACAGTATGAAAGAATTTACGTGTTCCACTCCATCACTCTACTCGAGGCCGCGAAAGCGATGAGGTTGGCGTCCCGCCCTCCCACCCAACGAGTAAGTCGGGTTCGATGTAGCTGTACGCTTCTATTTTCGCCTGGTCTTGTGCTTGTCCTAGGCCAGAGCGATTCCCTATAACTTATTACCACGTCATGAGTAACAACACCCAGGGTAGAATAGTACGCTATTTCCTGATTTCAGGTCTTTGTGAGCCTTGTGACTTACCCTATCTTCATTGGCTAGTCTCAGTTGCTCCTCCATCTGAGCGAGGGATCTCGTGAGACTGGACACTTGGATGTCATAGGCCTGATGCGATGCTCCATACTGATTGGATAATGAACCATCATGAATTATTACGAGGGCCATGTTGATCATATTACGTGCATAACTGTATTAGCCAAGGAAAGAACGTTTTCACGCGATGTACAAAATGACCGTGAAAGTATAAAAACCCTGAAATAATAGCTTGTTTACAGCAAAACTGATGCAAAAGCCCAAATGATAAACTTTAAAAAGGACAAAATTGAATAAATTACAGACGATAATTTGGCAAGTTTAGCCTATCTTTAGTCGCGAACTTGTCGTATTTCAAAGTGTTGATAAACAATACATGAAACACGAAAGACCGTGTTTGACCACATTTCCAAACACCGAGATACCACGTGCAGCGGAGTATTTTTGACGAACTTCGAGGTGTTTGGAAATGTGGTCAAACACGGTCTTTCGTGTTTCATGGAGTTTTATACATTCTGTGTAGTGCCAGTATGTAGAATTTAATGTTGCATCAAGGAAAAGACCACTAGTAGATGACGTTAGTTAGGAATTAGAAGTTTAAACAAACTAGGAATGGATCTTTTAAAAAATTATTAAGAAATCATTTTTACAAAAATGACTAACTGGCACTGCAGATAAATATGTTTTTTTTTTATTATTATTTTATGTTATTAAAAAAAAACATGTCATGCTACCTTTCTCTTAAAATTCTTCATACAGTATAAACCATGGTAACTAAGTTAACGTACAAAGTAAAGTTTGACAAAATTAGTAAGTTTAAATTAGTAATTTGTCTTTTTTCAAAGAAACAAACAAGGTGAAATTAAATTACTAACTTGAAAGTAGCGATTTTAATCAATCTAGCTATGAATAGTTTGTGCTTAGATAAAAAGATAGCAAGGTGGTTGTTTACTATTAATTTCCTATACGAGATCATTGTAATTAATATGTACTGATTTGTGGTGTTATTTTAATCAACGTTGAAAATAAATATACATTATATAGCTTGGTCTTTGAATAAAATGGCAGTATTGAGGCAGAAGATACTGAATTGTTGCGTTCGAAAACCTTATTTTGACCTGTGGCTTTCTAGAGTTGGTTTTCCTCTGCACGGTTATATGCAGAAAAATCCACATTCCTGTAAGGACACCGAAATGGCCACCCCGCTTGATTTTCGCAGGGGCATGTCACGGCCAGTAAACTGGTACCGTTTAATGCTAAGACATGTGATCAGTACAGACATGAGGCGGACATGTGAATATGTGAGCTGGCCATGTGAGCTCGTCTTTCCGATGGATCTTTGACTTCTTTCCATTCAGTCGCCGTAAGCTTCGCTATTATGTGCGTTCAGCGTTAGATTTTGGTGAATTTAAACGCTTCGACGGTAGCATTTAGCGAAATCTGAGAGAATTGTCCTTGTTTATTAACCCGACTTGGCTTTGGGATGTGAACAGCTACATTTTGATTGCATTTGTTGATTAATTCCAGTCGCGACAGATTGTTGTTTGGAATCGGTGGAAAAGTACTCGAAGGCAAGATCCAAAAGTAGTCGCACGGAGTTTGTTTACGATAAACGAGCACGCCATTGCAAATGCTAGCTTAAATTTGTGCTCCCAGCTTAGAATAATGTACGTTATTTAAATATTCTACGAAACTTGCGAGTCTACAGAAACCGGTGGCGTCACGCAACGTATCAACAAATCGTGACCTCTTCACTAGCATGGACTTTGACACTATGCATATCTGACTGTAAAACTTCGGTTGCTGCTGAAAAATGTTGATTTTAGCAATAGACAAAAGTTGAAAGTCAGCTAGTGACATCATTTATTTAAGGTATACATATTTAAGATATATATAAGGTATATTTAAGGTGTATTTATTTAAGTCATATATAAGGTATATAAAAAGTGAGGGCGTCGAACGCACTCTCATAATCTCTGATTACTACTAGTAATTAATTAATTCAAATGAAGATTTTCACTTTTGATAGTGTTAGAACCAATAGTTCAGTTCAAGGCCCCATAAACTCAACGCCAGTGGAATTTAAAAACGCAACAATCAGCGGTCGTTTTGGATTTGTGTTTGAGGTAAACTCGGTCAGGGAAATCACATGGTCATCGTGACGTCATCTTGTTTTCAAAATGTTCTCCGTCCACACTAAAACGCAAAGCCGGCGTTTCCAAATTCCTCCGGTTTGAAGAGCGTTTACGAAAAGCTCCGTTTTCGTGACGGATTAGTGTGGACGGTAGGCCTAACCGTAGGAATAAAGCTGCGTTTTCAAATTCTCCCACGTAATGTGGACGCTGTCTAAACAATGAAAATTAATATGATGTTTCATAATAGTTCACCAGAATAATTTGCTGTTAAAAAATTGATTGAGTGTTTTGTTGTTAAATGATTAAATTGAAACCCCTAATATGTTATTTTATTATCACAAAAACATTCAAGTAGTTCGTGAATATTACTTTATGTCTTGAAATTTTAGATCAAATGATAAAAAATTACGAGGTTACAGCTAAATAACAGATTTTAATAATATTACAAACTTAGTTGTTGAGAATTAAAATTGGTTTCTAAAAATGCGTTAAGTTAGATAAAATAAAGTTAATTGTCTTGTGTTATTTGACAAAAATTACGAGTTTACAGCTAAATAACAGTTTTTAACAATATTACAAACTTAGTTGTTGAGAATTAAAACTGGTTCCTAGAAATGTGTTAAGTTAGATAAAGTATAGTTAATTTTCTCTTGTTATTTGACAAAGTCTGACGCGGAAATCTGTGGATGCATTACATCTCTTCTCATCTGTTGTCTTTTATTCATAAGTGAAACTCGAACCTGATGGAAGATTTACAAAACAAAATAAAATCAAATTAAACCTACATTAATTATTCCCTTAAAAAAAAAAAAAAAAAAGTACTTGGCTATACTCTCTCACATCAAGTTTCATTTATATTTTATCTATTTAAAACGAAGTTAGTAGGTTACAACAAGTTCTATTTAAATTTCAACGATTTTTCTTTGCTAGCTCGGTCAGATGCTGAAAGCACCTTTTTTTTTAATCAGCATAAATGAAGAATGCATAAAACAGATGTCAAACACTGTACAGTGAAAATAGAGAACAATGATTGCTGTAAATGAAGAAAGGAAAGTTAAGATCTTGTAGTGTAGGAAAGTTTTAGTAATGCTAGTAAAAATAGTTTTTTTTATAAGTTTTGGAATTTTGTGGGACTCTTTAAATTTAAGTCAACGATACTTGAGTTACATTAAAGATGATAATTCTCCCATAATTTATTTTGCTTTTGAGAAAAAGAGAGACTTGGTTCCAAAACAGAAATAGAATTAATCTGCCTGACACAATTATCATAACTAGCCTTTCATATTAAATTACGTATTGAAAACTGAGATGAAATGTTATTTTGGTTTGAAACCATTACCTATAACTCGTTGACAATCATTTCTATGCAGTCTAGAGACGGTAATTTTATTCAAGCAGAAGCAGCGGGTGAAATGCTTTTTTTGTCTCAGATATCTGCCACATCATTTTCATCATTACTTACCTCATTCGTAACATGCCTTTTATAATACCTAAACTTGTAAAGAATTAATTCTTTTGAGCTTTGTCTTATGTTATGGCAACGACCTTTTATGCAATGTAAATCGATGAATTTAAGATCACATTATTAATTTATTATTTGTATATTGATGGTTACTAATTGAGAAAAAGAGAATGAAATTCCCATTTACGTAAAAAACAAACAAACAGAATTTTACGCGCAGATATGATTTACCTGTTGAATTTCACTTTCAAGTCGTCTAATTTTATCGCTTAGTTCCATCTCTGATCTTTGTTTTTGTACTAGTTCCATGTGGTAGTTGGTAACTTTGCCAGCAGACACCTTGGATTCAGATACAAGTCTCTCTGTTTCACTCGACAACACCCGGTATTGCTCCAACAATTCCTCTTTTTCCTGCTCCTGGAAGGTCGAGAAATAACTTTTAAGTACTAATCTGAGAGCGAAGGAAGACATCCTTAGATAGAAAGAAGCCTGTTCAAAAGGAGGGGTCTACATGGATTTTATCATACCGCTTTCCAAGGCAAATGAAATACGAGTTTTAAATAAAGTTCTACCACCCTTAAATAATTCATTTTTTGTGTTGTACAAAATTACTTCGAAATGGAAAGGCACCTTATTATTTGTTTTTGTTTTTTCACTTAAGTACAAAAACACAAAAAAGGCAGTAACTGATGAAAAAGGAACTGTGGTCGTAAAAGGATGGTTGAACTTGAGAAGTTAAAGGAGCTCAGTCACGGTATTTTGAGTTGTTTTGGCCACATAAAAAAATTTAAATGGTAAGAAACCTGAAAATAACAGTTTAGTAAGATAGAAAAACACCAAAGAGATAACAATAAACCATAAAGGAACAAGGATGGCTAAGGATGGAGAAGATTAACACGGATTACAAACGACGAATTTGAAAACTTGAGGCTAAACTTTTCAATATGCGCAAACCGTGAAGTAGCTCCTTAAAGGAAACTATCTTTTAACATGAACGAATAGCTTATTGAGAATGCTCAAGCCTAACAAAGACACACTTGAAAGAAAAAAATGCTCAAAGAAGTTGAAATTGTAAGAAAAAAAAAGCTTTTAATTCTCGAGATCCATGCATAAGTAATGATATCAAACTCTAAAGACCGTGTTTGACCACATTTCATTACACCGAGAAGTGAGTTGAGAATGCGACGCGTAGTTATGACGAATTTCGATGTGTTTGGAAATGTGGTCAAACACTGTCTTGACTGTTTGATATATCTTCTGACTCGAAACTAAAACTGAGGAGAAAAGAGATAAATTAAATCGTAAAAACCATACTTACTAAGATCAGATATCCAAACACCGTCACAGTCATGATTTCCTTTGCTTAAACTTGATGAATTATATAAATGAGTTTGAGAATATGAGATTATGAATGGAAGTTACCTTCTGAGCCAGAAGTTCCTCTACACGGGCCACTTGCCTGGCGTACTCAGATATTTGAACCTTTAGACTTTCTTGTTCTTCAAGGGCCTCCTGCAGTTGTTGGTGAATCGCCTGGAAAAATGAGGAAGACAGTGGACATTTCATTTTAACAAACATTCTATGTCCGTTAGAAAAGTAACTTGGACAGAAGAAAGTTTTTATTATATACAAAACACTAAGTAGGCACTTTGGTACTTTTTATCACTTCTGGGACTCAACGCTGTTTACATGAAATGAAAACGGTTTTTCATTAAGGGCCGGGCACTGGGCAAATTGACCGGCTGTGAGAGTGATTTTTCCCAACCAGTTTGACCATCTAGAGGATAATGTTTCTTACAAAGAAGTTCAGTTCAAAACGTTTCGCTGGTGAAAACCATTTGTCCTCCTGCTGAAAACGTCAATGAAACCTCTGAGCACATTCATTTGCATTTAACGAGGTCTTTTATTGGCTAATTCATGAGCAAACTTGCTATTGTTCGACCAATTAGGCGTAAAATTAAAACCAACTGCGATTTGCCATCGGCTTCTTCGTTTATAGAAGACGAGTTCATTGAAAAATTCCTACCGTGCTGTGAGGGCGTGGTGGATAGCATTCTCGCTTACCTGATGTTCCTCTGTCATCGTGTTGAGATCTGTTTGAAGTCGCCTATTTTCTTTCAAAGCCACTTCTCTTCCTCTCGTCATCTCAGCCAACTCATCGTCCCTGGAATCTAACTGTCTCCGCAGACTCTTAATTTCTCTGTCCTTCAGGCCACCCTGTTCTATGGCGTGACTGTCGATAAGGAAAACAGAAGTTCTTTCTGTTTTAGTTTGTCATTATATGCACCCACATTAACTAGAAATAACGTGGCTAAAATACCTTAACCGAGCCTCGACATCTTCCATGTTCATCTTGAGCTCGCTTTCTGCCTTTTCCTAAAATTGGAGATAAAAATAGAAATTCCGAGAAATTCAAAACTTGTACTTGAGAGCGAACATTAGTTACTTACACTAACTTTCTTTTTACACATACTTTATATTACTTTCTCAGTTCATGCCTTCGCTTCTTTTTTGTACGAATTTATAATTCAGCAGCGCTGGTCAGTGCCTTTTGTGCGACGAGACAACAAATTAATTCTTCCTCTTGAAAGGAAAAGGCAAAAAAGAAATTACTTAGTAAATGTAAAACTTCCTAACAAAATTTTTCTCTCGCGAAGGTTTACGTATACGAAGTTATCATCGACGCTGTCGGTATAGTCAGCGAAGTGTTTCCGATCAAATCCGAAAGTTTGTTTTGATCCGAAGGGTCCCGAAAGTAAACTTGACAGCAGCAAGGATAATACATTTCACTGCAATTGATAAAATTTTGCTCAAAATTTGTTCTAAGTTAGTATAGTCAAACTGAGTCATGAAGTGAGAAAACGTCGATAAAGCTACCTTCAAGACATCGCTAAACAACAAATAAGCCATATTCCTTGTGCAGATATTTTAACTGACCTAGCCTTTCGAAGAAGAATGAATTTCTGGCCACGAACATTTGAACTACTTAGTCATGCCACGCAATGGTGAATTACGGTTTGGCGTTATTTGGAATCGAAACAGCCCACATTGCAACAAATAGAAGTTTATAGTATAACTGAATATGCAAAATACTTTCCAAAACTGATTAATTTTGTATCAAATTGATCACGCATTAAGGGTAAAGTGTATATTATAACAAAGGAGAAAGCAAGAAATGTGGTCGAAATTATTTAAACTCAAAAGATTCTTACATCCCGAAGTCATTGTCGAAGGCATTTTGAAGCGTCTCGACTCCTTTAACAAATCCATCGTACATGTAAAGGAATGACAAACGAAGTTGAAAATATGTTTACCTTACCTCATCGCCTTCAACAAATGTTTTAAGATAATTTAGAGAGTGAAGAGCAGCTAACCAGGCCATTGCTACATAAACCTTTAGCAGAACAAAGAAATTTCCGAAACGTGTTTCTTGTGTAAGGCTGAAAGGACTCCGGCGACTTGTAAAGGGTATGCTTCGAGAAAGAAATCGTCCTTTTGAAATGATTTTAAACGAAACCTTGACGATTCACTTATGTAATATAATTAAAATTGAAAAATTAACCAGCGAATACTGTTTCCTTTCGACTTTGTTGTCTCCATTCACCGCGCTGTTCATGAAATGAACACAACAACATGAAAAAATTGTTACTACGGAAGCACCTGCAAAAATTTGTTCAATTAACAACACGGCGTTGTTTGATAATAGAGTAAACAAAACGAACGCCTCAGAGCAAAACTTCCATTGTTTGACAAGCTTTCCAAACAATTTGTTTACCTTCTTTCAGGCAGGGAGCTACAAAATATACATATTTTTCATTGCTGTCGCGGAAAAACGCACGCCATCTTTGTTATGGAAATACGATAAGCCACAAAACGACAAAGTTTCGCAGGCGCCGTTTCGGCAGCGATGTACTTGGCTGCTAAACGAAACAGTGATACTTGAATGAATTATTTTATATTCATTTTTATAATTAATTTGAGTCTAGGAGTGTCTTGTGTTTAAAGGACTGTCAAAGTGTTTAACTTCCCTAAGACATCCAGGAATTGCTTGTACACAAATTTAAATCTTTTTTAAGTGCGTACAAATTAATAAATTAATCGTTTATTTCACGAAAATTGAAAGGTTATAATACAATGCTTATATTCCTATTTTAAAGCTATGACATGTAAAACTAACTACATTCGGAATCAAAGTGATTTAATCCGGAAAGATCAAAAGTAGGAAAGTTTTAACCAAATCAACTTAATCTTTCTTGTGAGACAAACAGGTGGTGCGTGATGCGTGATTTACGCGAAATGAGCGCGTGATACGCGAAGGAACGTAAGTGTGGATATAATGCGTGATTTGAGCAAAAACGATTGACGAGTGACTGTGTGTAAAACGTGAAAGACTTACACGTTAAAGAACTCAAGTGCAGATTATATCGGCTACTGCGTGATTTGCGCGAAAGTGAGCGCGTGATCCGTGAAGCTATGCAAGTGCAGATAGTATGTGTGATACCTGTTTTGAGCAAAAATGGCTACGTGACTGTACGTTGAAACTGGAAAAAAATGTAGTATTATTCGGATTCGTCATCTAAGCAAAAATGAGTAAGTGATACGTGAAAGAAAGTACACTGTGAGATATTGTGCGTGATCCGTGATTTGAGCAAAAGTGATTACGTGATACATGAAGGAGAGAAAGTACAGATAAATTGGCTTACGCTTGATTTGAACAAAAGTAATATCATAGCACGTAATGAGAAAGTGCAGATATGATATATTGTCAAGGCGCGTATTTGCGCAAAAAAGGGCTTGCGGAAGAGGACAAGTAGAGTTCTTATGCGTTATTAAGACGTGTCATTTCGAGGAATAAACCATGTGATGATTGGTAAGTTAGGCAGTGTCCACACTATGCCTGAGAAATTTGAAAACACAGCTTTATTTCTCCGGTTAGGCCTTCTGTCCACACTAATCCGTCACATAAACGTAGCTTTTTGAAAACGCTCTTCAAACCGGAGGAATTTGAAAACGCCGGCTTTGCGTTTTCGTGTGGACGGAAAACATTTTGAAAACGGAGCTTTTCGATAACGATGACGTCACGATATTCACGTGATTTCCCTGACCGAGTTTTCCTCAAACACAAATCCAAAATGACCGGTGATTGTTGCGTTTCTAAATTGCTCCGGCGTAGTGTCAACGGAAAACACTTGATGCGTTTTCAGAGTGAAACCTCCGTTTTTAAATTTCTCCAGCGTAGTGTGGACGGAGCCTTATAAAGTAATGAGCATGAGTTCATACCGACTGTATTTTCTTTGCCTCAAGATTCATGATCTCCTCTGTCTTCTCGTCCACTTGTTGTTGTAGATCATCTCGCTCACGATCCAATGATTTTAGTGTTGCTCGTATCTCGGCAGTCTCAAAACTCTGTTCTGCATTCCTTTTTTCGACTTCCTCTACAACATGAAAGCAATATTACTACATAAATAATTAATTTTTTTTTAGGTATTTTTTTTCAGGTGGGCCGGAAATGGCTTCTGACAATTCACGCCATTGCAAGCAATATTGCCGGTAGTGCAAATCTGAAATGGCGCTATTGTTGCGTGCGATGTTGCAGAAGGAGACCGAGGTTCTGCCACTGAAAAATTGCGCTCACAACAATTTTAGGCGTGGACACTTAATTTAGCCATTACGCGCTAATGTTGGTTTAGATATACTCCCCGTTAGTTGTATCCCGGTTTACCTAGTCTGCGTTCCAGCTGCGCGCATTTTTCTTCCGAAGCTTGCAATTCTCCTGCTCTCCTGTTCAGCCTCCTTTCCATGTCTTCCGCCGTGCGGTTAGCTTGGTCAGCGGTAAGTTGTACTTTGTTAACCTCGGCTTCAAGTTCCAAGCCCGAGTCCTTTGCCATGGAGAGCTGGGCAGTAGTTTGCTTCAGCTGGTCCTCGAGATTGGAAACCATGTTTCTTAGTGACGTCACCCGTGTGTGGAGCTCATTTCTGTCTGCCTCGACCTGACGTTGAAAAATCCCGTTAGTCCATATAAGGTGCGTGCCTTAGTCGCTGCTTGTAGAACGATTTTCACTTGAGTTCGAAAGTAGTTCGAAAGTAGTTCTCATTTGACTGGATTTACATTTCTATGCTTCTTAGTGATTGGTTTAAAAATCTCGCGCCACTTTCTCAGCCAATCAGAGGCGAAACCAAAGCCAATCGTGGCTTGCTTGCGCTTGTGTTGGCGCGTCGACTGCATGCTTGATTCGAGTTTTGATTGGTTCGCTGGATTGTTAGTGTCCATTGTGATTGGTCAGAATGATAACATGTACTTTGGACTTTGACCGCTCCAGAGCGAACAAGAACACAATAAGCGCAAGCCAAAAAGGAATACAGATTTAGTTGAGCTTGATTTGGTCGAGAGAAGTGACCGTTAGCTAATGCTCCGAAATTGTTATGTTGTTCGCTATATAGCCGGGCTTTCATCAGCAGATAAATAGCTCTTTGAAAAACACCAAGTTTGAGAAACGCAAACTAAACACACTATCGATTTCAACAGACCATGGAAAGCCTAGATTTCTTTTTAATATAAATCGTTAGTTACCTTCTCCAGCATGGATTCTAATCTCTCGATTTTATCCTCATACCGTCTTCTCTCTTGAAGACCGCTTTCCTTCAATGCCTGGATAAAATGACATTAACCTGAGTCTAGTATCTGCATTGCGTGGAATTTATTTCGTGGAATTTATTTAACTTTCTAAAAAGATCCACAATTTTAATAATTTTCACAACGAACCTTAGATTTATCTTCCAAGTTATCTAGCTGGGTATTCGTCCTCCGAAGTTCCGCTAAGGCCTCGTCTCTCTCAGACTCCACTCGTGTTAAAACCGCCGAGGCTGCACGCGAGGGTGAAGGGGACCGGGCTTGGGAAACCTGGCGTCGTAATCTCTGGATTTCGTCTGTAGCCTGGGTACAAAGAGAGACTATTAACACTCTATCCGTTACCCGACTCGTCTTTTAACATGGTCGTTCTCTCCACAGCCTGTTTTGCAATTTCAAGTTCTTACACTGCATTCATGTCTAACAGCAATTCCAGCAAAGACTGGTGCATACTAACCTGCTCGTAAAGTAGTTGAATATTGTCTCTGTCCTGAGTTAGCGTCTTCACATTTTCCTGAATCTGAAAAAGCATTAATAGCATTAGAGCATTATAGACATACACATAGACAGTATATTGTACTTGGACAACACACTTAGCTATGGTAACGGTACGTCCCATAGACTTGATAAGCAGAGTCTACAGGACGCACCAGCTAGTTTTCGGTTGCGCCAAGAAAACAAAATAACAAAGTAAAAATGTATGTACAATTGGTTATAAATATTAAACTTAACTATCTAAGAATATATAATTAATATTATGGTTTTCACAATATCTAGGAGTCGTAGAAAATAGACCCAGTTGAAAATAAATTCCCATCTCCAACTGTTGAGTGGTTCAGCGGTATTCGTCACTGACGTTGCTACGCAACATGGCATAGTCTCATGGGGTCATGACGAAGTGACAATTTTCCGAGTTCTCGTTTGTGATTGAATATTAAGAATTAGAAACTATTTGAGTAAATCAACGAAGATTTGCTAAATCAACACTTGTTAACCAAACTATATTAGCCATTTAATGCACTGAATTCTGCACCTCCGTTAAATGTTTTTCAAACTTCTCCACAAGTGACTGCAGCTCGTCTCTTTCTCTTCTCAAACGATTCACTTCACTGGGGCTGTCACGTGATACCTGACAGAACAAATCAGTGCCATAAAATCAACAGGCAAATTCAATTTCGAATTATCCAATCACAGGCGACTTGGCGCAGCGCGAAAGGAAAAGAAAGCAAGAAACGTCTAAAGAACTGCATATAACTTTACGTTAGTAGCAACGTTGACGGTGAAAACACGTACAGAAATTATTTTATTAAGTCGTGAAGTTAAGGGAAATAAGAGTATAGCTCAAATAGATCACTATAAGGAGTTTTAGGCTACATTTAGTTGTTTTCTAGTTTATTCTTACTCTATAATGTGAACAGCGACAACGTAAACTGCGGAGTTAGAGCAGTTAGTTCATTACCCTTTCCCTTGTTGGAGGTGACATTAACACGCTCTTCTCCTTCATGTTTCTAAGCAGTTCACATTCACGCTTGTAGAAGTCCCTTTCCTCCTGCAGGAGCTGTGTCATGCTTTCAAGATGACCCACAGTCTGCAAATAAATCAAAATACGTTTTCAAAAGCACCGTAAATTAGCTTTCAACTGACTGGCGTTTCGATGAACAGTAACACAAACGCGGAAATCATAACTTTTCCTTTATCGTGATTAAAGGAGCTACGTCATGGTTTGGGCATCTTGAAAAGTTTAGCCTAAATTTTTCAAGTTCGTCGTTTGTAATCCGCGTTAATCTTCTCCATCCTTAACCATCCTTGTTCCTTTATGGTTTATTATTATCTCTTTAGTGTTTTTCTCTCTTAGTAAACTATTTCCACGTTTTCTTTGATTTAATGGTAATTTTGCACCTAAACAAAACTAAATCAAAATACCGTGAGAAGTATACCTTAGCTTTGCCTTTCCCGCCTTTTCGTTTGGTCGCTGGTGACTCCACAGCTGTCAGGCGCCTTCTCATCATATCCTGAAGTGTTTCACATTCGCTCTTGTAATAATCTCGCTCTTTTTCCAAGGTTGTCACCAGTGATTCTATCTTGGAGGGAGACTAAAAGGATAGAAGATTTCGTTTATCATCTTGTGAGGCGCAAAATACGAAGGGAACCCATTAAACCTTATTACACGATTCACTTGACTGAAGATGACTTTCGATCAGGTTGTCGAAACGTCAGTCACCAACAACAGTTCTCAGTCAGAACTATCCTCACCCGGGCAATCACACTATACGAACTACTGATTAAAACTAAATCATACTGAAGCGCACTTATGTAGCAACAGAAAGAATTGTAAATTCATCTAACACCTAAACGCACTGTAACATAATGCACGGTCATACAAAAGTGAGTTTTTATAACGAATTACGTACATCGCGAATAAATCTGTGAAACAATATGAATAGAGTACTAAAAAACGAAGCGTGCGCCGCAGTGGTTTAAAAAGGGTTTCTTCAGCAATCTTGTTAATTAGAGACCTCTTGGTAATGGTAAAAAGTAAAACCATTGTATACCTTATCTCGACTTTTCTTGGGCTTCACAGACTTGGCTAACTTAAGCCTTTCAAGATCCATGACAAGCTCTCGCTCTGAATTAAAACAAGACAAAATTATGAACAACGCGGTGCACATTTAGTGCTTTTAACATATACACTGTACTGTGTCTGTCATACGGTCGAGGTGATGCGCTGGACTCGTGAGAGCTAGGTTTTAGCCCAGCGGTGGTTGCTCGTGTTGTGTTCTTGAACAAGTCCCTTAAAGAAGCTACGTCACGGGTTGCGCATCATGGAACGTTTAGCCTACATTTTTCAAATTTGTCGTTTGTAATCCGTGTCAATCTTCTCCATCCTTAACCATCCTTGTTCCTTTATGGTTTATTATTATCTCTTTGGTGTTTTTCTATCTTAGCAAACTTTTATTTTTAGGTTACCTTCAATTTAAAGGTAATTTTCTACGTGGCCAGTGCCTTTCTTCACCCAGGTGACTTGTATGGATGGGTTGCAGCGAATTGATAGGGGCAAACTGACAGAATGATGGGAAATTACATTTGTACCTGTATCAGAGTAATATGTTGTTTGGCTGCCAGGAACAACAACAGGTCTCCCATTGTCTTGCAGAAAATGTCGCTTTTTTAACGCACCACTGAACTCCTTTTCCTCNGAGGGAGGAGGGGAGCAATACTTCCAGCCCCTTTAGTTCATGCTATAGTTCATGCTGGTTCATGCTATAGAAATCGCACTTACGTGAGCGTGAGGGCCTTCTCTTAACACCCCCTCCGGTTTCCTCACCGAAGCAAAACAGAAGAAAACCAAAGTCATACCGTTCATAGTGAGCTGCGCATTTCTGTCTGACAAGCGTTTCCTCTCCTTGTCTGATTTATCTAACAACTCCGTGACATGTCTGACATCATGCTCGGCGTTATCCACCAACACAGCTAGCCGTTCATTCTCTTCCATCAAGTGCTGTCGCTCCTAGAGTCAATGACAGAAATTTCAGTAAGAAATTTTATCTACTAGCACGGTAAGCGCTCTGCGTAGATTATGTGACGTGTCACACCTGGTCTTTGGGTGGTCACACAATCCCGACATGATTCTATTTTGAGTGACTTTTGGCTGAGAGGGAGGTCACAGAAACAGAGCTTTGATTAGTATCAAAAGTTACTGGATCACCCACTCCCGTTTCTTCACGCAATGTGGGAGTGTGCAACGAGTCCTAAACAAAAGAAGGGTTGAACAACAAAGACACAGATATAAAGCGGTAGTGCATCAACGATACATGTATGCCTGGATTTTATGCATGTTCTCTTTCAATGTGGCCACACTTTTAGACTTTTGTAGCTTACAACAGACATGATACTAAGAATGAAAAGAAACTGAATCATATGAAGAAGCTTTTTTTAACATTAAAAATGTAGTCAGCCATTTACATGTACACTTGTTTTAGTTTTTTTATTTGTCCCTTGGAATGGATAAATTGTATAAGTGGCACTGTAAATTAAACGTTAATATTATTCAACCCACCTTTCTAAGCTCCTGCATTTCAGTTCGGTGCACACCCTCTTGGTGTTGAAGGTTCTTCAGTACAGCCTGAAAATTGAAATAAACCCTTACTACCAAAAGATTAAGCCTGGCCACAGTGATTCTCACTAGTGTGTAACCCCTTTGGACTGTGTTCAGTTTTTATATGGCTAGAAACAAATCAAAGCCTGTAACAAGTGGTTGCTTTAGTTTTGGGGAAGTATACATACAGTGGGTCTCTGACACTACCCAGTGAGAGGTTTTCACACTGTTGTCACCCAGTGCAGCTCTTGGTTGATGATATATATATGGTGTTACCCAGTATCATAGGCCTGCAATGCGTGCACATAACCCTCTGCGAGCATCCTTAATATGTTAAAATATATGCACTAGACTTCTGGCAGTCTGTCTTTTAGTTACTCAGCCTCAAGATGAAAAAAGTTGGGGCAAGATATTTTCTTGCCCCAAACCCTTCTTGTCCATGCTGCCCCTTTACATTTGAGGACAACTGTAGGACCCTAAGAGGAAAGACCAGCTGCCACCAATCTACTTGTGCACACAGCAGTTTTTCCATGGCTTTGAAAAGGAGAAGCCAAGTTTGTCTTAAATACTAAATACATGACCAATCAAAAAGCAAGCATTGTTTGTCTTGAACTATATGATCCTAGATAAGAAATGTATGGGAACCAAAACTGAAAAGGAAAATTTGTATGTTGATACAGTGTATCATACATTTATAAAAAAATATATTACACTTTACCATACCTTAGTTTCCACCAGCTCTGATCGCACAATACCGACATCTCGCTGCTTATCTTCTTCCACTTGTTTGGAAAGTCTGTTGATATCTTTAAGCTCCAGAAGGAGTTCGGCGTTCTTACCCTCTAGATCATTGGCTCGCCGTGTCGCCTCAACATGCTGGTCTATTGTATCCTTCAATTGTTTTTCTAAATCGTGATTGGCCTGCTGTAGATAATCCACCTGCCAAAACAATCAGAAATTACAACATGAGAAATACATTTTAAGTTAGGACCCAAAAAAAACTTGAATTCCAGCTTGCCATTCCAACAAGCAGCTCTAAAATTTTGCTTGTCCTGAGCTAGTCCTAGGTTACATGTACTCTTTTTATTTTGTTGGCAAATAACTTGCCTGGGGGCAGTGAGAATGAAAAGTTACTTGCCCGGGAGGAAAATCTAGCCCCAGACAACACTTTTTTTGAACCCTGATAACTCAATGCAAGGTGTCAAGCTTGTACCAGGGTTGCCACAGGTCAGGAAATGGTCAGGAAAAAAATTATTCAATGTCAGGGAAAAGTCAGGGAATTTTTAATCTTTTAAGACAGGGAAAATTGATATTTTGAAGAAAAGTCAGCAAAAATTGAAATAATTTAACATGGCTGATTTAATACCATTAAAGGCTGGAAGAAACATTTGGAGTTACTGTGATCTCAACAACATTTTTCCTTAAAAAAGAAGGAGAATTTGTTGAAAACTTATAAGTCTTAATGAATAAGTAGAAAGGAAGGCTGTAAGAGGAGGCCAGAAACTGCTACTAGATCTGGCGTTTTGTATTTATTTGGTCAGGGAAATCTTGTTTTTAGCAGGAAAAAGTCAGTGAAAAGTCAGGGAATTTTGAAAAGTGATGTCTGTGGCAACCACGTGTACATGTAACATCCAATCTAGATATTAGTATTTTTGTACGTGTGTGTAGCATTTATTTAAGTCTGGTGCTTACATGTATTTGGGTAAATACAGAACTTTAATAATATTAGTATGAGTATACTATAATTCTGTATGACTTTTAAATACAAGCAACACAATAAGAATGACAGTAAAGGTTCTTGACAGAGTAAAGACATGACATTGTATACCTGAACGTTAAGGTGTGCAACAACCCTTTCACTACTGTCTTTTTTGCCTTCTCTCAGCACTGCATCAACAGGACGGCCACCATCCAATAGCCGGTTCAGCCTCTCAATTTCTTTGTCCCGAGTCTCCACCTACATGTAAGAAGGCAATTTTTATAGTATTATTTTAGTGTCTGCATCTGATTAATAGAGGTGTCTGCTGAATAGGGGATCATTATAAAGAGTAATATAAGACTTAAATTTCGGGACCAGGCTAAGTGTCTGTTTAATAGAGGGTTTCCGCTTAATTGAGGGTCCGCTTAATTGGGGATCTGCTTAATAGAGGCTTTACTGTATACAATAACGTTTGAAATAAAAATTTTGGCTGAGTGCTGTCTTTGACATTTGCATTCCCAAAGACCACAGTCCTTTCGGTACGCAGCAAAAACAATGAGCTCCAGTCAATTCAAATGCTCTGAGCACTTGTTATAGAGCTCTCACTTTCCATTTTCAGCCAATTATATTTGAGCAAAGTCAAGTCACAGACTTAAAATTAATGGGAGTCACTATTCTTGGCAAGACCAATTTTATGGATTGCTGCCTCTTCGGACAAGAACACTTACAGTTAACTCCCGATAACTCGAACCCTCGCTAACTCAAAACCCCCCGCTAACTTGAAGTAATTTTCAATTCCCTTCAGGTCATTTTCTATATAATTTTACCCTTGATAATTTGAATTCCCGATAACTCAAACCTTTTACCATTTCCCCTTAAGGTTCAAGTTATCGGTAGTCGACTGCAAATGTATAAGCTATAATTTCATCAGGATCTCAACAGCATTCAGGCTGCATCCATATATACACATTTTTGTCTCCATGATTCATGGCAATATTCTTGAACTCACAAATAGATGTGTAAAATCATAATCCAAAACTCAAATTTAAAAATAAATGAAAGGCTAAAACTCAACAATGAAGAGAATTGAACAAGTTTTTTCTTTTTCATTCATCCCTTCATTAATTAAGGTTACTGTATATTCCAACTTGACATACGATAGAAATGCTATTGTAGATAACAAAAACTGATATAAATATATTAAATATATTATCATGGACCAAGCCCAGATGTTCAAGCAGGTAGTTAGCGCTCTGACTGCTTTATATATTATGTTTACCAGCTTCCTCCAATGAGTTCAAGTTTCTTTAAAATTTAAATGGAGATCCTTAATGTATGATACCCCTGTTCTATTTTACATGTGTCAATTATTTTTGTCACTTAACCCTAGAATATATTCATCTCAAAATAACACAGAGTGCTATGTAAATATTTTCTTCCAGCATCTAGTCGGCAATGAGCAGATATTAATTTTAGAGCAAAATAGCAGGTGACCTTGAGCAAGCTTTCAATTAAGATAATTTTCAACTTTCTTAATTTATCTATGAAAAAAATTAGAATAATTTGATTGGGAAACTGTCAAGGGGTAAAATTTTAATTAAAGTTGGCTTATAATGTTTTGGATAATTTAGATTATTGCCACTGACATGCAAAAACAAATGCAGAATCTAAAATTATCATGTTATCCACGTCATGCAACTGAAAAGGTGTAAATCCAACGAGATACTGGCAAAACAATTATCACCTTTCATTGAATTGACAACAATAGGTTTTGCTAAAAATATATAAACCAAATAACTAAACACAAAAAAATCATGCCCACAAAAATTACCGGCAAAGAACAAGAAATTGTGTCTCTAGATACAATAAAAGTTCTTAAGATTTGAAAATATTTAGCTGTTTCACATCATTTTTTCGTATTTCTTATAGTAGCAATGGTTGCCGGAAGTTGTACTTGATGTTTTACCTGTTTTCGCAGACTTTTGTTTCGTCTCTCACTGCTCGACTTTTCATCCTGAACTTGTGACAATTGAGCCTGTAGTTCCTCTATTCTAGTATCAGCAACACTTAACAAGTCTGCTACATAAGGATCCTGCATATCATCCGTTTTGCCGGATAGATCTCGGGCGGGAGAAACTGTACTTTCGATGTCCATTCGTTGACGACGAAGAGGTATTTGCTTTCTTCGACCGCCAGGAGTTTCCACGACTGCATGTAAATTTTTCTCTTGCAAGTCCTGTATTCGTTCGGTTTTTGCTTTGTTTTCTTTCTCCAAAGCTTTAACTTTATGTACATATTGTGTATTGAGAAATTTCAGGTCCGCATTTTCGTGCTCCAACTTTCGAACGCTGGTTTTAAGATCCCTGATGACATGATCAGTCTCTTCTCGTAGTTTTATAAGCTGAAGATGAAGCTCGTTGTTTTCTTTCACGAGCTTCGCATTATCGCTTCTATACGGCTCGACATTATCCTCGAATACTGTCCTCTGTGTCTCCTGTTTGCCTACTTGAAGTTTAAGATTTTTTAAGCTTTCTGTCGTGTGTACAAGGTCGCTAAACAGCTTCTCCACAAGAGGCACAGATTCGATTCCCAGAGCTTGTCTGTAACCAAGCTGATCTAAACGCTTCCTGAGCGTAGTGAATTTTCGCTCCGTCATCCTTAGGGACACTAATGACCACTCTATTCAGCTCTTTTAAAATTTCAACCGAAATCGCGGAAATTTTTGTAAAAAATTCATCTTCAGAGGAAAACCGTTACTGATAATTGACTGGTTCGCGCAAAGACAGCGTCCTGACAACCGCACGAGAACGCATGCGTGACTTTCAAATTTGCCTCTGTTTATATTTTGACCTAAGGGGAATTCACTTTTTGATCAAAGGTTTTCATTTTCTCTCGTATGCTTTTTTTACTGAGGAAAAATTACCAAACAAAACAGCCAAAAGTGCATTATTTTTGTTTTGATATGCCAAATTGCCAAAAAGATTTAAAATTTTTCAAATCTTTAAGGTTTTTTTTTTTTTTTTTTAAATTACAGTATTTATGTTTACGAATATTTGAAACGATACGAAACGAAACCACTTGTTTAATCCCAGGATGTTTTCTTTCAAGTCATGTTTAAAAAATTTTTTGGGTTCCAACATTCGTAGTATTGGCAAAAGTAATAAATATTATACAAGTGTAAACATTTTTGCAATATAGTTTTGGGAGTTTTGTAACTTTAACTGACAAATAGGCATCATTGATTTTTTTTTTCAACTGAAAGCTGTAATATATCCTTTCTCCATAACTGTAAAATTTCGGGTGATCAAAATTTGAGGAAACATAGTTACTTACAAATTTATCTTGGAAAAAGAATTGAGAATGCAATGGCAGCCTAATTCATATTGGCATAAATGATTAATTTACAAATCCTTTTCAAGAGAGGGCAAGCTATAAAAGGGCAAATATTTTCAAAAAATAAAAAATATCTGACAGGACTGACAGCGCAAGTAGTTTAAAATTCCCAAGAAATCGAGCAGACAAACATTTTAACCAGCAGCTGTACATCTGGATCATGCGCAATTTTGTAGCCACGTCATACTGCACGATGTCATTTGTTATGATCAAAACAAAAATGGGGTTTGGCTGAGTTCGACAAAATGTACATTTAAAATTTAAAGTGTTTCGTTTTTGTGGAAACGGCAGTTCGGGTTCTTTGGAATCCCGAGCCATCGGCAAAGTCTCGACTTAGTATTATGCAGGTGTGATCGCATGGGCCAACTGCAGTCCATAGTTCATCGCAGAAGCCGAAGTCTTCAACCAGAGTCCTTTCCAGATCTAAGTAACTTCCCTCCTGAGGTTGCTGTTTGTGTTTTGTCTCATTTAAACGCCACAGATCTATGTCTTGCTGCTTGCGTTTGGAAGCACCTAGCTGACAACGAACTGCTGTGGCAAAGGTACTTTTGAAGAGCTTCATTTTCTTTCCTTTTAATTTAGTATTGCCGTTGAAAGGCGCCAAGTAACTTCAATGAAATCGTGTGGTGTTATGTTAATTAATTTAATTTAAGTGAAGTCTATTTGTTTAAGCACCGAACTCTACGACCTTTTATTTTCTGTTTTTACCTATGACATTGATGCGCAGATTTATAAGCAACATTTTGTTTTATTTAATATACAGTCAGCATTGAACCTGCCAGCTCTCGTTCTCTCACGCGCTCTGACGCTTAATCACGGGTTCACATTCATCTAGAATTTTGGTTTCATAACAATTTCTCACGCCTAGTTCACCAAAGTTAGCTATTAAAACTCTTAATTGTGACCTATTTTCAAGAAAAATATTAAATTGATTTTGACACTTTGAGAAAAAAAAAGTCATCCATGTATTAAAATCATTGTGTCTTTTAATTAAGTTATTTTCTATATTATCATTCTGTTCTCTGCTTAACCAGAATTCTATTGTTGCCTTTCCCAAGTGGAACAAAAATACCAGAAAAATCTTTTCAATGGTCACATCTTTCTAGAATTGAATTCTACTTTAATAGTAGAAATGTCTCTTGTTCCCTCAAATTAATCTAAAAAATATATCTTGTTCCCTTGAATTAAGGTTACTGTAGACCTTCCAGGGTGCCTTCCAGAAAATTCTTTCTTTACGCACTGCTTTAAAGAAAACCACGGTAAACTATACTTCATTGTAAAGTTAATAAACAGTAGATTCCGAAAATAACAATGCACTTTGTTTTGCTTTGATAGGCACACGCAAGCCTTTAAACACAAAAATGACTGTACTTGCTAAACTGAATTACCAGCCTTTGTGTTACTGCAGACATCCAAACTGACTGGACAGTATAATCAAGAGTTGATGGGCTAACAAAGTGTGTGGGGCTTTTTCGATATTTCTGTTGGTTGTTTAGGAAATCCCTTTAAAAGTTGGACAGTAGAAAATTTTCTGACTGCTGTTACTCAATGGGATGTCACAGGAAAAATATTTCGATTTTCATAGAAGCCTCACACATTTTGGTGCACTAATATCTGACGAAGATTTTGGCCAAGTTTCGTTAAAATGTGATAAATCTACATACCCTATTAATTCATTTGAATAGAGGTAATACACGCAAAAATAAACCTTGAGTTTTCGGCCTTGAAAGAAATTCACAGTTTTCGCACCTCACTGAAGCAGTTGTTAACGTGGCCATGCCGCCAATCAATGAAACGCAGCTTTGAAGTCCTCAGTGGGCTACAGTAACGCTCCCGGAAATGGATGTGCAATGTTTACATTTACAGTATATCTTTATATCTTACATCGGGAGTAGCAAAGTCTGTTGTTAAACATTCAGCAGCATATAAACTGAATCGGCAGATAAATGGTAAAGAAGAAAAAGGGAAAAAAGAGGAATGATAGCGGAATAGCCTTAAACAGTCCTACCGAGTCAAGTGAGGATATTAACACATTTTTAAAAAATTGTAAACACGTATTTCATCAGCCTGTTGATTTTACTAGAATATGGAAAAACGCTTTTCGAAGCAGAGGAAAGGAACGTTCGGAGAAGCTGCTTTGTCAGATATTAGCAATTAAATTCGTCAGTGATTCTGCAGCAGTCAGCTTCTGTGCCAGAAGAAGCTAGAGCAGGGCATCAACGAAACATTTGCTTGCGGATCCCTGCGATTTGGGCTTCCGTTCAAATGTGGAAATGCGAAGACCGTGCAAAATCACCTAGTCTAAGAGATGAAAACAATCAACAAAAGCGAAGATTTCTGTGCAAGAAATTGCAAGACGTAAGGGATAAACAAAAGAAGTGAAATACAACTCCGCGGATGAGATCAGTTGCCATGAAAATTGTTACTGCTCAACTCAGGGGTTGACACATTTTAATTGGCTTATCACAGTTTGCAGTTCATTGACTTGTTTAAAAAATTTACTTTATTGTAGATGACTCGTTTGCGTTTTAAGTTTTTAAAAAAAATTTTTTTGCAAAGTTCAGATGAAGTAGAAGTCTTGAATTTGGTGTAAAAAAATAATTTTGGACAAAATAGGCCCTTGAAGGTCTACAGTAACCTTAAGTGATCATGTTTCCTAGTTCCCCAAAACCTCTGGGAGTCCCTCATAAGTGGCTGCAGAGAACTCTTCTTCAAAACAAGTATTTTTATCCGCCAAAACAACCCCAATACTGTAATGCAGTAAACTGCCAAACAAACACGAAAAACTCTCTAAAACACAACTTGTGTAACTCATAAACACAATAATCTTGCACACAACATAACTTGTACATGCAATAATCATAAACTAAGGTAAAGTCTGCATACGAGCCAAGTGGCCCATCAGGCCGGAGTTTATCCTGGTTTCCGTAGCATGCGGTAACTAGGATTATTTCTACTACCCCCCTGGATGGGATGCTAGTCCATCGCAGGGTTACTCTCAGCAGTAAATTTGCCGGTACCCATTTATACACCTGGGTGGAGAGGCACTGCAAGAGTGCAAGGGCAAGAGCAAGGGCACTGCAAGTGTCTTGCCCAAGAACACAACACAATGTTCCCGGCCAGGGCTTCATCAGGACACAAGTGCACTAACCATGAGGCCACCACGCCTCCACAGTCGTAAACTAAGTAATCTTAAAAACATCTCTGATCATGTGTATACTTTTCATGCCTCATGCTGCTTCAGAAGCTGTCTTCTTCTGAACACCTGTAGAACACAAATACAATAACATACATTATTTTTTTCTCAAGCATCTGTGCGGGACGGAATCCTAAATCCTCGAATTTGATTGGCTAATCATACACACATGACTGGTCCAGTTTTTTACCATACGGCCCATGGGCCGGATTTTTTTCCCGCTGCCTAAATTTCGCTCCGAAAAGTTAGCGGTAATCGTCAATCTTTTGCCTTTTTACACATCCATCGACGATTAGTCAACGCAAGGTTATCTGTTCACTTTAAAATGGCAAGGAAAGTCACTGTAAGTAAATTCAATCTAGTGTTTTGAAGTTGTGAGAGTTTGCTTAATTGTTTGTAGCTTGGCGCTGTTATGGCGCATAATCCTGTGTTTCTCTCGCCATAAAATTTGAGTCAATTTCAGTCGAGTTTACCTCTTTGATCATTGCTGTATTTAGAAGAATTTCTGTTGAATACACTTAACGAATTTCCTCGCCTTCTGCTATTCAATTTACGGTAGAAAAGTGACGAAGTGATTTTAAAAGCGACGACTGACAGAAATTGTTTTTGTAGTAAAACTTCAAGCTTTGCACGAAATTTCACACCGCAAAAACTATTTTGGAGAACTTAACTGGTGAAATAAATGCAACTAACACAAAGTAGTTCGAAAAAAATCCTTCTACATCCTTCTTTGTCTACTATCTGAGTTACTCGCTCGTTGCCAAGATTTTTTAGAAATCGTTAGTAGACGGCACACAAGCCGATTCAATGACGAGTTGCATAAACAAACCCATTTGTAATCTGTAAAAGCAATAAAGCAATTTCCTGCAGGAAAAAAATAAACGTGTTATTTGCCAGCTTATGGTTGGTCCGTATGGTGAAAAACTGTGACCTCAGGCTTGAAAATGCTGCCCTCGGCCTACGGCCTTGGGCAGCATTTTCAAGACCTCAGTCACAGTTTTTCACCATACAGACCTCCCAGCCGGCAAATAACATATATATATGATAGGATAATATATTATGCAGTGCTGGTGTCGAGAAGTGACCAGTTTTTCAAGAGCAAAACTACTGGTACATGAAAAAAAAAGATTTGAAGAACGAAATTTATGAAAATACTTTCATGTAATGTGAGATGTAACGTGATATGATATATAATAATAACCCAGAAGGCTAAGCTCATCGCTAGTCTTTTTTCACCCTTCCATTTCAGCCTTTCAAAAGCAACTTGGGGTTATGCTTCAGCTTACCACAGGAAACGTCAGGTAAGCAATGTGCTGAAATTTAAGTGCAGCTGGGGGCTTAATTAGCTTATGTGCCACTTTGGAACAAAGAGGATTATATAAACAGTAGCCTCCATTTAGCGCTGAAATATGCTTGGATATTTGTCCACAGACATTATCTGCTCCGAAAAACAAACAGTTTTCCAAGAGTGTAGCTCGAGGGACACTGTGAGCTTTGAGGAACAGATAGTGTCGTAGGACAAATGTCCGGGCATATTTTCATGCCAAATGGAGGCTGTTGTGTTTATTATCCTTCAAACGTTTTTTGTAGCGCACTTGAGTTTAAAAATTGGGTAATATCACTTGGATATTCCTTAGTTTTAGCTGAGGAATATTCAGTCACGTGATGTGTTTAAAACAATCATGTACAAGCAAAAATATTTGATGGATTATAAGTATGTATATGTGTGGTGGTAGTAAAAGAATACTGTTATAGGAGAAATGATAGCATCCTACATCAGAAATAAATTCTTACAGCAGCAATTATGGGCAACCCTAAAACACGGAATTGGGAATCCGGAACCGGAATGTGGATTCCGGAATCCAGATATTACATGTATGAATGTCGATAGAAATAATTCACTCCAGCAATGTTTAGTAAATAAATATAGGGAAAAATTATTTTGTTGTTACTTATTTTCTTGGCCTTAGTTCAGCCTCAAATTGTAATTGTTAAAGAATTATTGACTAGTTCTGAACAACCCTTAGCTATACATCTGGCCTGGTTGCTCAAAAGCTGGATAAAGCTATCCATTGGGTAAATCACTATGCAGTCAGGGTTAGTGATTTTTTGAGTGGATAGAGTTACCCATAGCCTGCGAGCAGGCTCTAGTATCTGTCTCTATAAGTGTCTGAGCAGTCTCTAGAGCCTAGTGTGTTTTTGCATTGGCATGTGAGCAAGTGCCTTCTTGCAGCTTCGCAACTCACGCCCCCAGCCCAAACACGAGAGCCTGCTCACTAGCACATAGGCTAAGTTATTCATCTTTTGTTCAACCTGGCCCTGGTGAGAGCGTGGTTTTTGTCTAGATCGAATTGCTCTGAGAAGACTAGTGAGTAGCACAATAGCAACAAGCTATTGCAGTGAGTTTCGGGCAGTCATTTAGCATCTTTTAACAACATGTGGTCTGATCCGTTCACAAGCGAGAAGCAGACAGAGTTTGAAGCAGACGGAGTTTGAGGTCTTTTTTATTTGGCCCCTTATTTTTTACAGGCAAAAGCTATGCAAAATAGTTTTTGCATATTTGAAGAACTTGTTTTCTTTGATTTGTGGATTCCACATTCCGGATTCTGGATTCTGGATTCTGGATTCTGGATTCCAGATTCCGGATTCTGGATTTAGGGTTACCCAGCAATTGTAGTCAAGTCCGCAGGTTGAAAGATAATGTTTTCATTTCACAATGAATTGTGATTGATCTTCCCCAATAGTAAATTTTGTGGGTATTACTTTTCATCTAGGGAAAGATTTCCTTCAAGGAGCTTTATATGTTGTTGGATGAGGGGACTTGTCTTTTCAATTTTGACCCTCACCAGGTTAGTGTTTGTAATAAGAGTTTTGTTTTCAGTTTATACATATAATGTTACTCGTAATTAACTTGTTCATGAAAGGTCTTCATTGTGTTGCCGTGTAAGCAAGATGCTACAGTGCATGTATTTATTAATCAGTGGAAATGTTTCACAGTCTGACCACATCAACCAACAAAATTCTGCACACACTTGCAAATGAACCTATGGATGTTAATGCTAAATCTCTCTCTAAATCTCTCAAAGAGATGCGGTTGTGAACATTTTTATTGTATAAACACTCAAATGCTATTGGTTTACATTGTTGTCTCACAGTTTTCAGTATTTGCAGGCATCTTTTTTTGTTGGATTAATAGGCGGCTGATTTTGTAGTCTTTTCTAAAGTTACAAACCTGGGTCAATTTGCAAAGAATATGTTTCCAACGGTGGTCTTCACTGGAGTAGTCATAATGTACATAAAATTAACTGCTATTTTAATAGTTATCGTGCACTATCAATCAAGGCATGTTATATAATATTACTTACTAAATGTATATACGGTATGCATATTAAACAAAGCAAGAGAATGACATGTAACCAGTATTTCTTTGTTTATTTCAGGGAATAATTTATTTAGTGAGACACAATGTGTTGGAGGACTCTGTTTTAGAAATAGCAAAGTTTATTAACTGTACCGGAGCACTTTATGGAAAGTCAGTTAGAGAATATCTCAACACAAGGTAGGGACTAGGCAGGGGGGGCGGGGATACTCTTGCATGTACATATAGCTGCAGGGCCAAGGGGTTTGTTTCAGAGGGAGTGGGAACCAATTAAGTAAGCGTGTGAGTGAAATGCTTGTACAGATGTCTGAGGCATCTCCCCAGCTTGAGGCTGAAGGCTTTCTTGGCTAACCCCCCCCCACCTCCTTCCTTCTTTCCAGCCCCACCTGTTTCATGCTTCCCGAGTTCCTGAGTTCCTGTGTCAAATTTGGATAAGCTTACACACTTTGTTTTATCGATATAGTTAGGTGCTATGCTTTGTAGCTGGTAAGCAAGTTGTTTAAAGGAGCTCAGTCATGGTTTGCGCATATTGAAAAGTTTAGCCTCAATTTTTCAAATTCCTCATTTGCAATCTGTGTTAATCTTCTCCATCCTTAGCCATCCTTGTTCCTTTGTGGTTTATCATTATCTCTTTGGTGTTTTTCTATCTTATTAAACTGTTATTTTCAGGTTTCTTAACACTTAAAGGTAATTTTGAATGTGGCCAAAATAACTCAAAATACTGTGACTGAGCCCCTTTAATATTCTTTTGCAGTCAAAATGGGCGGAGCATGCAAAAAATGAATTTATGGAAATTTGATGTTAGTTTTATTTCATTTTCTTACTCTTGGAAGGGAAAATTAATATTGAAGAAAAGAATGAAATCAAATTTCCTTTCAGTGATGAATTTATTACTTTGCAGGGGTCTCATTAGTTAACATTTTGAACTGAACTTCTTTATAAGGAAAACACCCCTTTAGATGGTCAAACCAAAAACCAGAAACCTGAAACTCCTGACTTTGTTATTGCTACAGAGTGTTCCTACAGCAGAACTGTGAGCTGACTTGATCCTTTTAAAGATACCTTTTTTGATACAGTGGAACCCCATTAATACGGTCACCAATGGGCCACAAAAATCCAGCTGCATTAGAGGGGTGGCCGTATTAAAGGGGTTCGTTAAATAAGAAAATAACTGACTGAGCTTTTTTTTTCAGGCCAGAAAGTGGCGATAATAACAAGGTGGCTGTATTAATCGGGTGGCCATAAGGCAGNACTGTATTAACGGGATGGCTGTATTTAAGGGTTCTTTAATAAGAAAATGACCAACTGAGCTTTTTTGTGGGCAGACTAAAGTGGCCGTAATAACGAAGTGGGCTTCTTGCTATTGTTATTATCTTATAATCTCATCTGATTTGCCTTCTTGGTAGGAGAGATGTTCTACAGGAAATTGTCAATATGCAGAATTATAAAGGAATGTTTCTGCCTGTGGCTCTAAGGTTTGTGTACATACATGTATGAAATAATTGTTGCAGGTTTGTCTATGTCTGGTTTCCTCTGAATCCTGACTGCATTAAGAGCTGTGCGTTAGTCCAATCAACTCTTTCTAAAAGATTGTAATTCTTCCAACTCATTTTCATTTTCCATCTTATTTTGTTTGCCAGTTTATTTTGCTAAACTCTATAATTATCATAAAGTTGGTATTTTGTTCTGGGACATAAAAAATAGCACCAAGTAAGCAAGGTACTGCTCAATAACATTTGTATGAAATTACTGCTTCACAGTCGTATGTACCTCAGGTTACTTGAAATTTACTCTGGTTGATTTACCTTAACTTACATAAACAAATGTTTTCCTGTCCGTTTCAGGCAGTTTTTTGAGCGAGTTTATCCCCCAGAACAAAGAGGGGAATTCTTAGACACCCTTTTGAACAAGTTTTCAATTCGGTTTTGTGATACAAATCCTTCTGCATCCTTTACTCCAGGTAAGTCTTTTTGTCATCATTTGCATTGTTCCCCCTAAACGTGGAATGTCTGTTTTTATTTCAAATGTCCTCGTGCTATTCTAGTGTGTGTTTCGCTATCTGCCTCTGCCTGTCTGTCTGTCCATACATCTGTCTTTCTGTATCGGTCTGTCCTGTCACTGGCTTTCTATTTCTCTGATGAACTGAGTGACTTACCGGTCACGCTTGTAACAGACTGTCTGTGTCTGCTTTTGTTTGTTTGTTTGTCTGTCTGTCTTGTCACTGACTGTCTGTTAGACAATGTTCTGACATATTGTAAGGTCAATAAGGGCCGTAACCCACAACACCTGCAACACCTGAGTATGTTCGATGGGCCCTTGATGTTGGGTGTGAACTTGCCTGAGAAATTGCCTGTAGTTGAAAAAAATTCACCCAAAAGGTAACAAGTTTGTTATGGGTATGAAAATCAAAGCTACAGTCGACTTAAAACTTAATGATAGCCTTGACAAGAAACTAGGTGCTAATTAGTTTTAAAGCACCATGCAGGAGTAACAACATTGTGTTCTTGTCTTTTCCTTTTTAGAGAGTGTGTTTATTCTATGCCACTCTTTGATTCTTCTCAGTGTGGATCTCAGCAGTCCACATGTGAAAAACAAAATGTCAAAGAGAGAGTTTGTCAAGAACCTGCGTGGGCTCATCCAAGGGCCTGGGACGACTGAGTATCTCGGAGATCTCTACGATAACGTGTACTTAGAAGGACACATTGCCTTAAGGGCTGAGAAATGCAAGCAGAAAACGGCCTTTCCTTTTGAGAGGCCTTACGGCAAGATATTTTTACACATGTAACGAGATGTTTCAAGCATTTTTAGGCAATCTTATTTTCAATTCATAAGAAATCCACTGCAATGATGGGCTGGAAAAAATGTAATTTTGAGGTTCCCCAAATACTGTTTTGCCAGCAGATTTTCCCCTGTTTTGGAAAGGTTTATGAAACAAGCGCAGCAGGACAATTGTTTTTCTAGATTGACAAGGTATTAGATGAGAACTGAATCCAAATATGATTAGATCACGAGTAACCTCTTTAGTTTTGTTTTGTTTTGTTTTTGTTTTTCCTTACTTTGTACTTTATCATGACAATTCGTTTACGTTATTTATTTGATGCCAAGACTTTTTCTTTTGACGCTTAAATTAAGACTCTTTTTGGTTTTTGAAACAAAAGATTACCCGAGTGTGGCCAATTCACTTTTGTGAAAATTTAAAATTGTCAGTAATTCAATTATTTACACCGAAAGGTTCCTAGTACAGCAATTAATGAGTAATTTATTTTTCAGAGATACCTAATACAAATGGGTTTTCCAATCTAAACTAAAAAGACACAAGTAGTGGGAGTTAAATGAGCCTGCGATGTTTTTTTTAAAGCTTTTGCTAAGCAGGGAACGTGACGTATTCTTATCATGTGATTATTTTCGGACTATTTTTTACTGTTAGCCCCTTTTTAATTGGATAGTAAAAATCGGAAACGCTGCATGCTTAAAGGCAGATTTGCTTAACAAAAAAAACTCATTTTGTCCCCGAAAGAATAGGGAAATCTTTGCTGACTTCGTTGCTCGCATTTTGCCTTATTAGCATTCGACTTTGTGTAGTGAAGACATAACGCTTTATACGAATTGACTGGAAACATTTAATAAGCTTGTAAAACTCAGTAATTGGTGAAATTTTGTAGCTCTTTGAGCGTAACATTGAAAGAGATATTTGCTTAAAACGTAACCTAAAAGGTACACGCTATCTGCGTGAATATTTAAAAAGATTGTCTGAATTGTAAATTTGTACTCAAGTTGTTAAACAATTTATGTAATTTGGAGATGAAAAATATAGGCAGGGTCTTGTTTTAAGGACACCCCAGAAAAGATAGACAAAGTGGTAATATTTACAAGTGTAACAGCACCATTAGCAGGGCCGTAGACAGTGTGAGGCAAACCGAGGCACTTCCCTCAGTCATTTTTTTTTTCGTTTTTTGCTGTTTCTCTTTTAAAGGGGGAGAGTAAAACACTAGCAAATACGTAGGAAGAGAATTTAACCATAAACATTACCTCGTCGCGTTTTTCTTTCTGGATACGGCCCCGGTTAGGTTGTAGGTAGTTTGTAATATTCGTCTGGTTAGCGACACAAAAGGTTTGTTTGTTTGGATAATCCAGATGTGGAACTGTCATTGTGATTTTTTTATTATTTCAATGTGTAATATGATCGATGTGACACCGTCTTTCCCTCCAATTGTAAATATTACTGGCAAACTGTTGTTGAATATTCCTTTTTTTAATATGATGTGTACGACAACGTTTTACATTAAAAGCTCGAAATCTTCTGTACAGCAAGATTTTTGTGTCTCTTACTGTCGCTGTTGTGTTGTTCCGTGGGATCTCTTGTGCGCCTACGCAAGCTTTCTGATTATTGTTAGTACCACGGTTTCACTCTCTCAAACAGCATGCGCTACAGATTGATTCAGGTTGTTTTCGGTTTCTGATTGGTTGTTATACACGTAATTAGCTCGTGATTAGAGGCTACTTGTCACGAGCGACACGGGCAAGGATAAATTTCCTACGGCTGTGATTTAGGAAGATGATCGTTTCACAGCCATTTAGCCGTTTCTTAGGTGGGGAAAATTGCATTGGTCCTCTAAAGAATTGAATGGTATGATAGTAGCAAACCCTTTTATGGGATCTTAACTTGCTTGGAGTATCAGTTTAGTCGACATTGAACAAGCACGTTTATACTTCTGGTGACTCTGGTGGAATTCCGTCGAAAAATGTCCGAGCCCACGGACTTCATCAGATACGAACTTGATCGATAACATCGCTTGCCACTCTTCGTTCGTGCGTCTTTCGTCAATTTCGCTAAGCTAATTTTGCTTTGAATTCGCCAATATCGTCAAAACCATGAGGCATTCACTCAGTCTTACGAAATTTCCTCAAATCTGCCAATTTCGTTACTGCGTACATTTCTGGACACAAGTGAACTTTCTAGGACTAGTTCAGATCGAAAAAGCCATTTGGAAACCTCTCTGGCACGTCAGCGAGGGTTTACAAAAGCTTCAGATGTTTCTCTCATTCAGTTGTCATGATAAATGACGAATGATCGATCACGGTACAACCCACACAGTCTGTTTCATGAGCCTTTACAGTGATCTATTGACGCCAGAAAATGATCCACCTTCTCTTGCCAAGAATTCATAACAAGATAGCTTTAATCTCTCGCTCGACATCGCATTCTGGGCATCTTTGAACACCCAGCATTCACCTTGAACTGTAGTGCAGCCTGTTGCACATGCAGATAAAGATAAAAGAAAATATTAAGTAATCATAAAAATCTCCAAGTTTTAGGTCAAATGATCTAAGCAGATAGATCTAAAGAGGTCGCGGATTTTCTAACTGTAAAACAACACCTTGAAATAACTCTGTCTATCTGTTTGTCGGCACAGGAATACGCGTGGATGGTAGCCAACTCTTTTTCTCACTCTCACCAAACTAGCTCACAAGAAGAAAACTCTATTTGCTCTCGCCCTGTTTCTTGGGTACAGAGATTAATAGAAACTATTTAATTTTGGTCATAGAGAGACGAGGCCAAATATATTTGATAAGGGTTTCTCCTTTAAGACAGTTAAGGGCGTATTCGCGGTTGCATTTGCGTGATAACATAGAAGTATCCTAACAGAAATGTTTTCTGTGATAATCGTGTCAAGTGGTTCTATGACTATTCAAGTATGTCTAGACAAAATTGGTTTGTAATGCTTTCCACAGTAAATGTATTATTACTGCCAAGTTGCTGTTTTGGTATACAATAAACATTCTTTACATTGTGGCAGGATACTTTACCATTAAAATGTTGAATTTAGGAATAAACAGAGGTTGAGTGTTGGCTAATGAAGGCGTCGAATAGACCCTAAAAATAATCTTTGATTATTGCTAGTATTAGCCAATTTGCACTTTTGGAGTACGACAAACATTCTTTACATTGTGGCAACATACAATTCATCCTTCAAATCTTTTCTTCACACGGGCATCTTATCCAAATGGTTAAGTTGAAAACAGACCACGAGCTTCCCTCCACTGATCTTGGTCTGTCGCGCGTGTCGCGAAAGGACGGGAGAGAAGAGGAATGGACGCTCGCGGGAAGGCGAGCAGTCGCTCTTCGCGTCACGCTCGAGAGACTAGAAAAAAAGGGCCGTTTCGTAGATAGCCTCCAACGAGGGTGATTCAAGTGGAAGAGATAAAGAACACAGTTTCGATCTGGTGGGTTTCTGTTGTGGAATCTCATCAATTCTGAGAATGAATTCCAGCACTACTTGACCTGAAACATTCTAGCATCAGTCAGCTGAAACAGCATTCTGATGTAAGGGGATATACCATAATGACAAGAGGGTTGACTCTGTATACAACGATTGACTGATTTAATTAGCACTGGTTGTTGGCCTTTCAAATCTGTGAACATTCTTTAAACAGTCGTGTGGCAGATGACATCCCTCAGCGCGTGAAAGAATTTCATCGTAAGCGCCGCCTCGCCTCGTGACAAATTACCTTCTAAAGATCTTCGCGACGGTTCGATTCTGRCTGAGAAATGTTCTCGGCCCAGACAAGACATTGAATTTAATCACATATCTGATAAAAAGGTACAATAACAGCTGGAGTTTATGTRCATTCTAACTAAAGAAATTTGCAGCRAAAAGTTGCGTTARCTTTATCTTAMTGGGTTACCRACTGGAATGTTCTGTGTGTGACAATGCAGTGAATTAACATCCAATTTGGATCCCATCAGATTGGGCTCGGTAAAATTAAATTTAGAATAGAGCCTTATCAATTTGCCACACATTACTGGAAATGATATTCCCAAATATAGGACATATATAATGGCTGTAAATTACAATTCATATTTGCTCTTTTTCAATCTTGGCTAATGGAAATATGTTTTGATCTGGCTGCCCGCGAATCACGGAACCTGAAATTTTGAACCACAACGACAAAATTTTTGGTTAAAAATGGTAAGTCCTCAGTGAGATATGTTACAGGAAATTTTCTTTACTGATTTTAATTTGAAGTCGATGTAGAGTACAGAAGGAATAGAAAAAGCTGGCATAAATAAGTTGTCGCCCGAAAAGTCCATAAAAAATTGTGTCGAATTATATTATGCTCAGCAATAAGGTGAGTTGACATGTTTATCTAAAATATTATTAATTTATCGTATGATGATGTTATTTGCCTGTTTCCAATGATTCGACGTTATGTTTCATACGTACATTGTGTTTAAGTCTACCATGAGTAGCCTCAATGTTTTCTAATTTTTTTCCTATCGTTTTTTTTTTAATTTTCGACACCTTTCCATAATTTTTCCGATTTAAATTAGCTTAATTTAACAGACTTTTTTTTATAATATGAAAAGACTTGTAGAGGCGAGTACAATCTTTGAGGTGACAAGTAGACAATTCTTGCCAAATAACATTTACTGAAATGGGTAATTTTTTTTGGAAAGCTTTTGTGCAGTCCAATACTGTAAATTTGATCAGTTAGTTTTTGTGTGAATTGTATTCAATAACTTTGCTATTACATATTTCTCCTTTTGTTATCGCATTTTCACTCAAACATTGTTTTGAAATGGAAAACAACCGATGCCTTTCAACAAGCTGTGCTACAAATTTATTTGAAATCAGAGCTAGGTACCTGAGAGACAAAGGTCAGAAAAACAACATTTGAAGTGTCGTGCCAGAGACTTCGTAAATGTATAGATGAAAACCTCGGGAAGTTACAATAGGGGGGGATTCGCGGCCAAAGAAAAAAGAAATTTATTGCGAGAATTTTTGATTCACTTCATTTGCTAAACTAGAGGTTGCCATCAGTTGTTCAGCTTCCCGGCTTTTCAATTTTTGCATAATAATGCAAGAGTATTTCAAAACCTTTTACATCCCCACGAAACATTTTATAATCGAAAAACTTTACAATACAATGATTATATTTTAAAATCGATTTCTAACAGTTTTTCGGCAAGCTTTGTAGTCTGAATTTGTTTAGATGGGCGATGGAAAAAAGGTCCTTAAATTGAATTTCTAGGAATTTGTTTTAATATTGGTCTTCCTTTGATCAGTTCATGCTAGTGAATTTACATCTTTTGAATCAAGGCAGAGCACATTAAAATTAAAACCTTTTAAAATCTCGCCGCTGCTAGGCGACAAATCCGTTTTTTACGTATGCTCACAAACTAAGCCGGTTATTTTTGAAATAGTGTTATGGCTATTGAATTTAATCGTGCGCGCTAATTTTTTTCCCTCGAATATAATTCGCTGATCAGTTTAGCGAAAGCTCCTAATCTCACACGGACTTTTAATCTGATCGGATCCGCAGATTTTCAGAGTGTCAAAAACCAGGTAAGGCCAGTCGGTAATTGATGCTTCCGTAATTTTCGATTCAAACTTTGTTTCTGTGTGTTCCCGACGGTTCAGGCATAACAAAATGGCTTTCCGAGCATCTCTCGCGAAAACTAAAAGAAGCGATTTAAGAACAGCAATCTTATTGGTGTTGTTTTTCATTAGGACAAGTTCGACCTAAGGTTTTTAATGAAACGAGAAAACGAACTGATAAGGAAATCAGTACGAATCAACTATAGAGTAAATTGGTCATATTGGGTTGCCTTAATGAAGCCAAAATGAAGGAACAGACTCCTTCAATAACAATCAATATCAAACGCATGCCATGGGGCAAAAATCACTTCTTATCATCTAGACGGCAAAAGCCGTAAAGAGAATGTTTTACTAAATTATCGTATGTTCAAAAGCAATAAATAAGTCAAAGGACTTTCTGATAACAGCGACCGCGCGCTCAATCCTCGATTGTACCCAGGGGATCTGTTTTGCAATAACAGCATTTAAAACTATCATATACTTTTGGTTGACTTATATATTAAGGCGTTTCCTTTGGTTAAGTTTTGTTTTGGTGCATTTAAAGTTAAGCCGATATATTTTACGACACTCCACCGCGCAAACGATATTCGACGATTTGAGTGCAAAACCCCCCGCTGTTGTTTTGGTATTACAATATTGCTTCACTGGCCATTGCAATCAAAAGACGTTTTGGAAAGGTTTTTTGTGAATGTCCGATTACCTCAAACAATGGACTGTCACGTTGCTGTTCAATCACGATCTTTCTATCAAAATACAGAGAAAAGGCAATCAAAAAATCCGTCGAGCATTACATTTTTCTGTTGTCGTCGAGAGTATAAAATTACAATTGACCTCGCCGCATTCGATCGAACGGGACCGTGTTGACAACAACGTTATCGTTTTACTATGAAAAGAAGCGTGAAGACACGAAATGTTTGTAATTATAACCTGATAGAAGAAAACTTTGCACCCAACAAAGAGGTCTTTGACACCAAGCGTCGAGCTACCTGAATTGCTTGTTTGTCTTTCACATTGATTGCACACAGAACGCGAAGTAAAGTGAATAATCAATGTGGAATTATGTGCTTAAGTTCTGTTGTGTCATGATTGCAATGGTCTGCGCATTGATGGTAACAACGGATGTGCGATAGGCAGCTAGTGAAACTTGTCAGATACAGTGATGATGTTTCAAACAGCGCGATTGCAATATCAGATGTTCTGCTGTAGGTTAGAACGCGCCAGTGTTTAGAGCGAATTTTGACAAGCCGGTTGCTTTTCAGATGCGCCACTTTAGAATGTGAAGGTGGCCTATTGACAAAAGCAATACATACTGATTGGATAGTTGGAGCTATCGCTAATAATTACGGCCCAGATGCCTTGGTAGATAGAGTGACACGTGACTGACACCGCAAACAATCAAGAAAACCATTAGAAGCAAGCCGAAAGTCGGTTGACAAAACAGCCCAACAACATTGCGGACTTTTGGCAAAATTATGGTAAGGATTTCACACATGTGCCACCAAAATCTTCCACAACGTTGGTTTAGCAAGTTTGTAACGGTATTTCCTTTCCTGTTGCAGTATGGCTTTGTACACTGCGCTCTTGCAGACTTGGTTATCAGCAAGTTTGGCGAAGATGTGTGGCGATCGATCATGTAAGAAGACATTTAATGTTATTCGAGCGGCTTGAATTGAAAACGATTTATTCGTAAAGCGATTACTTTGTAACGCAAGGACCTCTTGTTTTCCTCTCTTCTTTTCTTTAGCGAGAAAGCTGGCGTTGAGCTCGACGGCGGCTCGTACCTTATTCACAAAGTTTACGACGACGAGGAAACATTGAGCCTAGTTGGTGCGGCCTGCGAAACTTTAGGTATGCATTTTACCAGCAACCTGTTCAGTTTTCTTAGAATTATCCATATACCGGAAAGGTACTTGGGTAGCACTGTTAAAGAACGTATTCTGGAAAATGAGACATTAAGAGGTATTATTCCATAAATCTTCTTGCAATACTTGTGATGATAGCTAAGTAGGTCAAAGTGTAAAATTGCCGACGGTACTCGAAATCTTGAAAACATAAACTACGATCTTCAATTACCTATTTCAGGTCTTGCTTTAAACGATGTTTTGGAGGCATTCGGCGCTCACTTTTTGGACTACTGTGTACAGTCTGGCTATGATCGCATTCTGAAAGTTCTGGGCAGAAATCTGCGAGACTTTTTGTGCAATCTGGATGCGCTGCATGACCATCTAGCCACGATCTATCCTGGAATGGAGGCACCCTCCTTTCGCTGTACAGAGACATCTGACGGAACGTTACTGCTCCACTACTACTCACGAAGACAGGGTTTAGAGCATATTGTGATCGGAATCGTGAAAGCTGTTGCTAAGGAGATGCTGAATACCGAGGTTGAAGTTACGGTAAAACAAGCGCGTTCAGACGATCTCGGGCATGTTGTGTTTTCAATAAGAGAGACAGGTTGTAAAAATGCAACCCATTCCAAACTCGGCCTACAAACATTTGATTTAAACACCCTTCCGGGCCAACAGGCTGTACAGCTGTCGGATAGTGAACACAAAACTGCAAAGAAACAGCGCGGACGTATAAATCTGTTATCGTTTTGCAAAGCGTTTCCATTTCACGTGATGTTCGACAGAAAGCTGAACATCACGCAAACAGGGGTGGCAATGATGCGACTCTTAAACAAACGGCTTACCACTGGTCACCCCTTTCCTTTCAAGGACGCGTTCGAATTGGTCCGACCGCGAATGGAATTTACGTTCGATACCGTGTTGTCGCACATCAACACAGTTTTTATTGTCTCAGCAAAACAGTCCGTTCTGAGACTTACCCACCCGTTGCCCAGCGAGAACGATGTTTCAGACGGCCGGAGAATGAGTGTGGCCAATCCAACACTGCGCCTCAAGGGTCAAATGATATATATACCTAAGATCGATAGTGTGCTATTTCTGTGTTCCCCTCGGGCGAGCAACCTAGAGAGTTTTAAACAAATGGGTATTTACTTCAGTGACATTCCCGTCCACGATGCTACGCGCGATCTTATCTTCATGTCGCAAGCAAGGAGAGCTGAGCGAGAATTGGTGGAAAAGCTGGAAGAAACTAGCAACGACCTAAGGAAAGTTGAAAGCAAACTCACGGAAAACAAGAAGCAAACGGACGAGTTGCTGCACTCTATTTTGCCCCAAGAAGTCGCGGCTAAACTGCGTTTGAATCAGCCGGTTCCAGCAGAAAACTACAAGCTTGTCACAATTCTTTTCAGTGACATTGTCGGCTTTACAGCGCTGTGTTCCGACGACAAAATTGTACCCATGGACATTGTACGGATGTTGAATAAACTCTACACCTACTTCGATATGTTAAGCGGGATGAACGACGTCTACAAGGTAGGTTTATACTCTTAAAATAATCTTCATTCTTGCCTTTTAACTCGGCTATTGACATTTACGGGGACCCGTCTTCTGTGATTGACAAATGTTTACCTAAACGCCGGACTACTAAGCCGGCGACTTTTTCAAATGTTTGCAACTTTACCGTGCATGAAAAGACCTCGGCCTATGTATAGCGTGTTATATCAGCGATGACATTTTGGATCAACCGCGAATTAATTCCGCGACGAAGGCAAACAGACGCGACCATCAAATTATTCGGTTGCGGTTCGCTGATCTCAATATACCGTCAGATTTTAATCGCTTATTTTCCAAGATAAGCGAAAAAATACAATAAAAACTCAGTTTTGCAAGTTTATAATCAGAATCTTATTGCGTGAGAAATCAATTTTTGTCTTGGCCTTTCAGGGTTAATCATTTATAAGAAGTGGGCACCTCTAGAGACACTTTTTTCATTAACACAATTTTTGTTTCTTCATCATTTATACAGCTACTCCAAACATTTTATGCAAATTTTTGCCTCCGATGTTTGATTATTGTACGCATGTGACAGACGTATTTGTTTAAAAAGGCTTTACAGACTTCCTGCATAAGAGGGTTTTATTTATTTTCTTTTTCTAATCCGACCCCAAGTAGCGTTTTTCTCGTTCAGATTGTCGACTGGCACTCTGTCAGTTTATGTCTCGGTTTTATCAGGATATTTTCGCCTTAGCCAAGAGCATATTTAACCAAAAGTGGAAAGTAGTAAGATTAAGAGCTTAAAATGGAAAACAAAACAAAAACTTGTCAGGATGTTGTGGGGGTTGGTTAGATGAAATTTTGAATTTTAGCATAATACCTGAATGGCAACAAATAAAATGTTCTTTTTTTCTCTCTCTCTTCTCGCGAAATTAATACGTGCTGGTGAAAAATTTGTACTTGTGATCTTCTGGTAAAAAAAGTTTCTTTATCGCCCGCAAAAATTTTGTCAAATAAATTTTTGCGTAATCGTCTTAAAATTTTGATAGGTTATCTTGGTGTTCTGTGATGTCAAAAATGTCTACGACATTTACACTGAACCTTCACGATAACTTTTGTTATCAGTTATTTTGGCTATTTCTCTAACCAAAATATTAAAACCCTTTTAATTGACAGTTGTTTTTTCCAATGAGTTATATGACATCCTAATCACAAATTGCGATAACAAACAACTGCCTACTACCTCTAATTATTTGGAGGTAATGTTTTATGTTATCGCAGTGGGCCGCAATTTGCTAAGGGTCTTTTATTTGCTTTCGGTAAATTTACTCTTGCACTGACTCAAAAAGAAAAAAAAACAATTTGAAATTAAACATGTAAGAGATAAGAAAAAGATCGAAATTCGCTCATTTCTCTTTAATATGATCCATTTATTTGTTATCTTGTCGTTTAAGCTATGAATTCCAAATGAACTGGCAAAAGTTATAGATTATTTATAACTTGAAGCGTTTGTCGTTTATCAAATTTAGGAAGTGTACTCTGCAAGCGAATACTCTCTCTTCCGTCGTGGAACATGAAGTCGCAAAACGCGAAAACTAGAGATAAATTTAACCAGGACGAAAATTACAATATTCATGCAAGACAATTAACCGCCTCTGTCTCAATCGTATTCTACTCCCGTGTCCCCGGCGCCAGACTTAAAATTGAGACAGCTGATTACAACTTGAGAAGTCATTTTTATACGACTATAAATAATCTGTAATTTATGCAAGCAATCAAACGATTTCTTACTGATTTCTGCCGCCATCTTGTTTGGAAGGCAAACAACGCTAAAATAATTTTAGTAAATGTATTGGATTTTGGTCTACCTGAGAACACTGACCGTTATTCAAAATTTTAAAATTCGCGTTTATCAATTAGCTATTATCATTTATCCGATTGGAAAAAATGAGACCATAGTCGAATTCACGAGGCAGGTAACCGTTTAAAATTTCGAGTAAATTATATTTGCATATTTTGATTCCAGTTAGTGACAATGTAATTCCCTTATTTTATTTCCGACAATGTATATAATATTTTTAAAATTTTCCCCAACATTTGGAGCAAATAATAACATATGTTTTCAAAACGCTTAATTGATGCCAAACTCCGAAAATTGATAGCGCATTCGTGAAGATTCAAAGTTGCCCAAGCTTTACCCCCAACTAAGAGGTGCTGTAGAAAAACTGAAAACTTCACAGTCAGCAGTCACGAATCTGTATTACCAACAGCAGTTGCTTTATTCACTGTTGAACTGAGCAAATCATATGTACTTGTTTTGCTAAGTTTAACAGCTGTGAATAAAGCAACTGCTGAGTGGCAAAGAAAATTGGTTTCTTAAAGAAACATTTGAAACCCGAAAAACAAACCGCAAAATTTATTTTCAAGTTCTTCCTTTCCTGCAAGTTAATTTCTTTTCTAATATTATATAATCACGACAGTAATTGCCTTAAGCGGCAAGAGCAAGGGCAATGTGGTTCAGTTAAGGTGGCGCTCTAAAATTCGGCCTTTAGTTTCGGTTTCTATAATTAGTTTGAGATAATTGAAAAAGAAAAGTCAATTAAGACCTTTGGTTAGAGTTATGAAACTTAACGGTCTACTCTTGCAAGAGAAGCGACAGCTACAAACCTGACAGCAAAATTCTTCAGCTGGTTTTTGAAATTTACATCCAAATGCTCATGTTCAACATCATTTCGTAGGTGGAGACGATCGGTGACGCTTACATGGTAGTGGGTGGTTTACCAAAGCCATGTGACAATCATGCAGAGAGAGTAGCTCACATGGCGTGCTCAATGATGGAAGCTTCTGAAAAGGTTCTCTCACCAGTCGACAAGACGCCTCTCAAGGTACTTGCTCAGTAAGATTGAAAAGAATAGACATCAGACATTCAAGTCTAAGAAGCAGGCAGGGACACAAGTATAGTAAAACCCCGTGTTTCAGAACCTTAAATTTAAGAACATGTTTGCTTAAAATTTCCCAGTGAAGCACCCTTCACATAAGAATCATTCGAGGTTAAAATCCGGCATTGTTATAAGGCTACAATACAGTACTGTGAATGATTCAATATAAAGGCCACATCCGTGAGTACAAGTTGTTGTTTTAAACAAAAATAAAGAATGCAAAAGCAAAAACCGACACAACGTAGGATGATTTTTTGAAGGTGTACTATATTTCGGCTGGCCAAACCAGCCTTCTTCAGGTACAATGAAAATTTTACATTGGGACGTGTTTTTATGAAGCCGATATTTAAAAATAAAGACCCTGATTAATTTGGCACCCAATTGGCCTAATTTCACAGTTAACACCATTTATATAAGGACCTATGGAGGCTAACTTGAAAAAACTTAGGTTGTTATATGCGGGTTTTTGCTGTAGCTAATATATATCCGCTTTCATCTTCTGTTTTCTGTTTCATTAACGAGCCCCCATCATGAATATATATACTGAAGCGCGCGAAAAGCTGCGTGGAAAATTGAGGTACATTGTGTGCAGAACCGGCGAGAACAGTGTTGATAGTTTCATTCTCCTCTGTCCTTTGTTCAAACTGCTTTCTCAATTCAATTAAATTCAATCTTAATTTAAACCCCCTCAAATTTAAACTCTCAGTTAAAGGCATTAAAACGCAACCTTTCAGTGACTTCGACAGTGTCGAGGTTCTAAGGCGCAGCAAGGATGTGCGAGCTGGGAAGCGTTTAGAAATATACAAAGCGCGCTATGTAGCGGCTAATATTCTCCAATTCAAATAAGTTCATATTTGCTTTCATCAGGTCTCCGCATACTTTTTTGTTGTTCAACAAGTGTGGACCTAAAGCAGAGGATAATTCTCTCTTTGTTTCCCAGATTCGTATTGGAATTCACAGCGGTTCTGTAATGGCGGGTGTTGTAGGCAAGATGATGCCTCGCTACTGCTTGTTTGGAAACACTGTTACTCTGGCGAACAAAATGGAGTCGGGCAGTAAACCAGGCTTCATCAACGTCAGCTACGAGACCAAACGGTGAGAAGAAATAAGTACTTACAGAAATATCTGTAGTACGGAAAGTAAACTAAAGCAAGTAAAGCATTTTACGAAGTCTAGTGTCTGGATAAGACGGCGCTTATTCAAGTTTGCTTTCCCCTGGATAGAATGCTAGTCCATCGCAGGGTTACTCCTCATTAGTTGTGGCCATGTTGCCTCGATAGTCTCCCCGTATCAATTTATTTTGCTGGATGGAGACAGTCACTGTGAAAATTTGACGTTTTTTTTTTGTTTGTTTTTTTTGGCCGGGGAACACAATGTAACCTACGTTCCCAGCCAGCGCTCAGCCCCAGGATTCGGTTCGATCGCTGAGTTGACTTGCTAAAAATAGGCCATCGCATCTAATTCAGATCAGAAGTTGCACAGTTAACTTCTTACAGTACGCCTGCCCGAATGCAGCTGTTCTCGCTTACACTTAAGTTGACTATCTCGAATACAATCTAACCTCGTTCACGAGAACTGACGCTTAAGCAAACGCTTAGGAACAACAAGAAGGACGTTTTCGCACCAAAACGACACGAGATCACAAATGCAGTGACTCGCTTTTGCTATTGTCTAGTCTAGTTTATTGTCTAGTCTAGTTTATTGTCTAGTTCTATTGCACTAGAGGCGTGGAGGCGTGGTGGCCTCATGGTTAGTGCGTTCGCGTCCGGATCGAGCGGTCCTGGCCGAGGTCATTGTGTTGTTTTCTTGGGCAAAGGCACTTTACTCTCACAGTACCTCTCTCCACTCAGGGGTATAAATGGGTACCTGCGAATTTAATGCTGTGAGTAACCCTACAATGGACTAGCATCCCCATCCGGGGGAGGGGGGGCGGTAGAAATACTCCTAGTCACTTCATGCTACTGAAACCGGAGATAAGCGCCGACCTGATGGGTCACTTGGCTCGTATGCAGACTTTATCTTCTTACATTTCTTGTACTGGATCTGAATTCTGATGTCTGTAAGAATGTAAGAATTCTAATATCTGTAAGAAATGGAGCCACACAATTGAAGAGATACTACTTAATTTTGCTTTCTTGCATGCAGTTACCTTCGAGGGTCTACGGAATTTGAGTTCACGCCGAACACAGAGATTCCCAATCCATTGCCATGCTTCTTCTTAAACAAGAGCAAGAACGCAAGACAGCAGCCTTCCATTATGGACATCGCAGCCTCCGTGGCCCCCAACAGCATCTGCATGTTCAGATCACCGATGTCTTCCCCGAGCCATTCCCCCTCGACGAAGCGACGAAGCGAAACGGGGCCAGCGGCTTACCGTCATAATGCACCGGACGGTCTGCCTGTACGGAGAGTAAGCGCCGTGGACATTTCGTCCGTCAACGAGAAGCTGGAAGACTTGACGAACGGCAAAGAGAACAACAATAAGGCTCCCATGCGACGAAGAACCACAGTGGCAAGCATGTGTCCCATGTACAAAACAAACAGTTTCAAGAGGGATGAGAGTTTTGACGAGGACGAGGACGATGACGATGACGAAGAAATTGAAAAGGACGAAGGGAAAGAAATCAACGGCGACGCCTCCCTGATAGGAATGGATGAAGAATCCTTGTCGGAACTCGTGGAGCTCAGCCAGCAGATTGAGGCCAATTTAGAAATGACTTAGTCAGGAAAACAAGTGTTCAATCCCTCGTGAGACCTCATAAAGGGGCACCGTATATAAGGGGCCTCGTACCACTCTGATGTAGCGTTCCTGCGCAGCAGGTACCGCAACGAAATGCTCCCTTCTGGAAGGTACCCTATCAGTGGAGATCACAATGTAAGATCGAGAAAACGACCCCGTTATCTCGAAGAAGAGGACTGGATGTAAATAGAGTTCTGCGGCACTGATCAACAAGAAACTGAAATTTTAGAGTCCTTCAAAACTGATTATTGTCGTGAAATACCAAAGAAAATTCAGGAACAAAATCATTTAATTAATGTCCATTGCTGAAACAAATTGCCGTCGAATTGATTGCGATATATTCAACCTGGAAAGTTGCTAAAAGCACAAGAAAATGAAATGTTAGCTGAATTTTTTCCCTTTTTACTCATCACGCCCAGAGTTTTAGTCATCGTGTTTTGGGCGTCAAGCAAATTCGGTCAATAGAAAGAACGACGTCATAAGATGGCGTCGTGATAATTTCGCAAATTTTTATGTTTAAACCTAACTTTCAGCTATTTAAAAGCAATTTGTTTCAGCAGTAGATAAGTGTGTTTGTGATTTCTTGTCAGGTTCAAAACGACTGATATATTCTTTGAAAGTTCAAGTCTTCAATCATGACATAGGACCTAGCAATGAAACATAACATAGCAATGTATATGTTGTTATTATATTTACTTGTTATCAAAGTTATTTTGTACAATAAGTCAAATTATTCTCGATTTTGACCACAGCAGACGTCAAAATGTGGTGAGAACATTAGTGACACAACCAGCTATCGCCTCTTGAACCGCTTTTTTGTTCTTCCCACATTTTGACCTCATCTATCGTCAATTACTGAACAGATGCGTGGCAGCATGGAATCTATTTGTTAAAGTGACGAAAGACTTGTATCTTTCAATATTGGAGCAACACTGTACATAGCGTTTCGACTTTTCTGACGTCATATGACGACATATGACGTCATGTCGCTAAGCGACGCTTATCTATTAAGCTTCCGTTTTGGGAGAAAGGCCTTTTATGCTTTCATCCCTCGAGCAACTCAAAGAACTTGAGAATATACTGATAATATTTACAAGGAAAACAGTTTTAAATAGGATGTGTCCCAGGCCAGTCTGGTTCACACATTGCGGTTTTAACGAGGAGTGATCAAAAGAAAGTAGCTAGAAACAAATTATTTTGAGTGATTAACAGACTGAGAATAGTCTACATTATTGTAAACACGTTGAAATATAGAAGAAATTAGAGGAGATGAATATTTTAAGTCTTCTAATAGCTTAGTAGTAGTTTGTAAACGATAAAACGGAGTCTCCATTGTTTCACATCCTCGTCATGTTAATATCACGAAAATGTACATACATACTCAAATAGGCGTCTTAAACTGTATGCAGCATTAAATGGCGAAGACTATATTTTTAATCACAGAAGATTAGATATAATATATACTATCATTTTTTTGGTCGCTAAAACGTATGATTCTCAACGTCCCTTCTAGGGAGATTTTCGCACAGCGTGCAAATTTAAGATCTATTTTACTATGGTTAACAGAGATTTAACGCAAGTGGACATAAGGTTGAAATATCAGTCGTGTCCCGCCCTCAGATAACTGACATTTCAGGCTAAGTGGATATATGTTACGGAGACAGAGAGCTAATTAAACCAGCTCAGATATCCATGTAGGCTAAATCTATGTAGTAAATCTACTACTTTATCTCCATTAAAATTGCAAGATTGTAACGAGCAGTTTCGTTGAATTTTTTCATTGTAAAATAAACAATACTGCCATGATGTCGAAGGTGATTTCCAGTCCGTACTGCGCTCTCTCGAGAGTTTGTTTGCGGTATTTGTTTTGTTTCACGTAAGAAATCACAAAATGTAAACATTTCGCAACTACTTATATGAAGTAAATTCAAAGTTCCAAATCAACCGCCATTGTGGATGCGAAGCTTTATGCTTCGTTTTTCCTCATACCACTTGATGAAACAACCTCGCAGCTGTAAAAATCCATGAAGCTGTTGGAAAAAAGAATTTGAAAGGCCTCAAAGATAAGGTGTGTGGTTCGTAACGAATAACATCGATTCGCATTTTATCGATTTAGAACTTATAATATTTATAAACATTAGGGCGCTGAGACTGCGCTGTAGGGACTGGAAATCAACTTTAAAGCGATTTTCATGACCTGCGCAATGCAATAGTCCTTTTGGGGCGATTTGAGAATTCTGGGAAAAAATGCTTTTACAAATAACGTAATAATCTGTTACAGAGGCCAGCCACTTTCCTTTTGGACATTCCAAGAAACTTCAAGTACATTTTAATCAACCTGAGGTTTTGGGAAAATTGCCTTCGTTAATACCCATTGCTATAACAGAGAGAGAAAACTTATTATATCTGGCGAAAAACCACAAATAAACTAATGGGTGTTAGAGTCGAAACCATGTCGGCTTTTTCGGTTACCGCTCTCTATTGTGCTTGCGTTGTGTCGTTAATGATTTTTCTTTGGACGGGTGGAAGAAAGAGCTTCATATGTTTCAGGGCGCATCTTGTTTCTATGGACGCTAAAAGCTCTCTGGCCTGTTAACAATTTTTCGAAGTTGTCCTCCATGTTAATAGGTAAAGCACACATCTTAGAGGGCCCGACTGAATTTAACCGACATTGTATTGCATAATAGTGAGCCATGTCGTGTCAACTAAATTAAGACTTGGGTAATCCACTTTTAAAGGAACAGGAAAATGTTTTTTGTCTACTGAATATATTTTTTAAGCATTGCTGCGTCCTAAACAAATATAGCTATATAGGTTAACGTACAAATTTCCTGTTAATTATTCAACCTTGCAACCCGTTCAAAATGAAACTTAAAGTAATAAAAGAAAATTTTAAGTCTCATTAGATTAACTGATTCCAAATTGTTACAATGCTCTAATATAGACTGCCGGAAGAAGGTCTTTCCTTTTCATTACGGTCACTTACACGAGTATTTAGGGTTGAATTAAAAGTGGGTCATTTTAAAGTCGCGGCGAAATCAAACATTTCTCTCGCGAGAGCTATAATTAAAGGCGGCAAAAATTCAAAGTTTCTTTTTCGAAATTCCAAACAGTTGTGCCCCAGAAGTTTGTCCTGAAATACTCTTTAAGGCACATAAAATCACAAGAATGTAAGTCCGTCCTGTAAGAGAAGAATTTTGAGTTCATTAAATAATATCCTTGTAAATCTTAAAATGATGCAAACAAAACAGGTTGGACCTTACCATAAAGACGAGTTTATTTACGCGGGGGTAACAGCCACAACTCGTGTAAACTGTCACAACAACTGCAACTACATTTCCAGTGTAATGTTTTCGTCACAGTTCATATTCAGTATACTTCATGTTAGCGAAGGTTTTTGACAGACTTAATTAACAAAAGGACTCTTTTAAGGTCGTGTTACTTGTAAAACTTTATTGGAGTAAATGTTCTCACCGGTAGCTCCGTAGTTCACATAATGGCCTTCCTAAATAATATTCAAGATAAAGCTGCTAACTCCTACTAATATTAAAATGTTCCGAGATTAAATTGTATCGTTCTTTAATAACCATGTTGGTGTTACCGCTTGGCCACTGACATTTGAGTCACAATTTGAATGTCAGTCTAATTATTTCGTTCAGAGTTAGCAGCGTGTTTAACTGTTGTGAGCTGCTGCTGTAAGCGAGCCAAAACACGTGCTCTGTTCTAATTACTGTTAATTAGCGCTTTTTCTGTACATATATTGCCACAAAAAGAATTCACAGCTGATCTCCCGATACAAATGGGAATTCTATTCTAAATTCATCTACTGTCTTGTAGGAAATGCACAGCCAAAATCACTAGAGGAACTGGGAGATAAAGCTTTCAAAGAATGCCACAAGAAATACGGGAAAGCCCTAAGAACCTTAGGAAACTCTTTGTAGGATTTCTTGAATGGGCTCAACAACTTTGTACAGTTGCTTAGATCGAAAGAAAAATGCAGTTTCTTTGAACTTCCTTCTCTTCACTGCAAGACATCTGAGGACCAATCAGAGCTCGACCTTCACTGCTACGATGCACGCATGCGCGACGAATGGGAAGGCTTTGTAGCGGGTGTGGTCAAAAGCGCGACAAAAGTCTTGTTTGACATTATTGTTACAGTTGAGGTGACTAAGGACTACAATAACAAGATTCTTTTTCAAGTCGATTTTAACGTGAATCATGCTGTATTTAAGAGCCGTAAAAGTCCTCAAAATCTCGTCGAAACTAGCCTTGCGACATTACAGTACATGAACAGAAATCAATCCACGTCTCCTACGGACTTGAAAATTTCAGTGCCTGCCTTATGTTCAGCGTTTCCTTTTCTTGTCATATTTGACGGAAGTCTTCAGATTCAACAGCTCGGCTCGTCATTGGCGAGGCTTCTTGGCCCTTTTCTATCAGCACAGGAAAAAGACTTTAGCAAATACTTTGAACTTTTAGATCCCAAAGTTCAGCTAACATTTCCCTCAATCTTGGGTCGAAAAAATGGCTCGTTTCTACTGCGCGTTAAATTTGGTAACGAAGATAGTGTTTCCCCTGATGCAGTTGAACTGAGAGGCCAAATGATTCATTTGCCGGAATCGAATTGCACTCTGTTCCTCGGATCACCTCGTGTGGAGAGCATTGATGAACTCCAGGGCAGCGCTCTTTTCCTGAGTGACATTCCACTTCATGATGTTACAAGGAGCCTTTTTCTTCTAAGTGAACAGGCCGTGGTGCAAGATGGTCTCAAGAAAAGCATGGAGCAGTTAAAAAATCGAGCTTCAAAAAGCCCAACGCGAACTAGCACTTGAAAAATGCAAAACAGAAGACCTTCTTGAGTCAATTTTTCCGCACGATGTGGCCAAGAAACTGATTCACAGGAAGACAGTTCCCGCAAGGTTCATCGAAGACGTCACCATCTTGTTCAGTGACATCGTTGGGTTTACTTCAATCTGTGGCAAATGTGCTCCAATGGACGTTGTAAACATGCTAGAGAGTTTGTTTACAGAATTTGACAGAAAATGTGAGCAGCCGGAGCTAAATAAGATAACTACTGACAGGGGTGCTGTTTGGTCTGTAGAATGGTTTCTATACTAATTGATCTTGTAATTAAATCACATTTACCGTTTAAACTAGCCTGTTCCAAGCTCTCGGTCAGTGGGGACAACTGGAAAAGTGGGTGGGCAACGAGAGGAGTCTGGGAGAGAAAAAGGAGACCACGCAGGCTCTCAGCTCTCCCGCTCGCTTTTTCGACCGTCCCCACTGACCGAGAGCCTGGAACAGTTTTCGTTTAAACCCATGCATTTGAAAAACGTAGGTTATGTGCAACTTTGAAGTGTAGCCTGTCTCCGTCGCTTCTATTTGAGTAAATATCGGGAGCTAAATCTATTGACGGCTTAAATTAATCTTTTTGTTACTTTTATCATTACTTACTAAATTGTTCTCGTAAAACCTGTTTACCTGATCAGCAGAATACGCGCACGCGTCAATATGGCAGCGAAAAAATATTTTACCAAGAGCCCTCGCTCATTTTGGTCAGCATCAAGACTGGACGAGACTGGAAGAGAGTAGTCTGGTTCTCATTCCCAGATCTCTGGAAAATTCCAGGTTAATTATAAGTTGAGGCGTATCAATAATGGTTTTAACATGCTAGCTCCAAAATATGGCAACCACTATTTCATCATGCTGCAGATTTGCTGAAAGCAAGGGATTAAGCGTTGACAAAAGCGGTTAGAAATACTGCTCTCTTAAATAAATTTACTTTGCCAAGTAAGTTCATTTGAGAGAGCAGCGCCAGTCTAGTGGATTTGGCGACTCAGTGAACCGCGATTTCCCTACTTAGATTTCTTACATATAAACCCTCCACAGATAGAGACGATTGGGGACGCTTACGTGGTAGCCGGAGGCCTTCAGAAAGATTGTGGGACAGCGGATGATGCTGTCAATGTGTCAATCATGGCTCTCAGAATGATTGACGTTACAGAAAACGTACTGTCACCTGAAGGGCTTCTTCTCAGGGTATGTTCTGAAAAGAAAGTTTAAATTTGCCACAGTTTTACACTTAATACGTGGCAAACTATAATTAAAAAATAGTTGCATTAAAATTAACTGAACACAAAAAATCACTTATATTTTATCTATCAACCGAACGATATTCGGCTACAACTGCAACTCTCTAGCCTCAGTATTCATATATTTCAGAGTCAAAAAAGTAGGCGTAAAGTAAAAGACCTCCCCACCCTTCATTTTCTCTGCACGACTTCGAATACTTCACTGAGCATTCAGTTGTCTGAAGAAAGAGACTTCAACTTTACTACCTTCCTTCTTTACTAATCGGTAAATTGAAATAGAGCTTTGTTGTTGTTGTTATTGTTGTTTTTGTTTTTTACATTAGATGAGGATTGGTCTTCACACTGGTTCAGTGTTATCTGGTGTCATTGGAGCCAAAATGCCTCGTTACTGTTTGTTTGGAAATAACGTCACTGTTGCCAACAAGATGGAGTCTGATAGCGAGCCTGGCAAGATCAATATCAGTTCTACCACTTACAGGTAAACAAGGCCCTCTAGCAGACAAGTAAGACTCAATCCTCCTTCACACGTGACCTTTTTTCTTCACTTACATATTGCCTTTTTTTTCTGTAGTGAGAGAGTACGACATAACAATTAGGAGTAAACGTCGATGCCAGGCCCTTTTCCCCACTTGGACCCTGTGAGGTTGAATTTAGTCCGGGAATACCCCCTGCTCTTTCTCTCCCTCGCAGACTCAACACTCGTCACGAATAGTTCTGTCTCTTGCTTTGTATTAAGACGAGGTTAATTTTATTCTGTTCTAATCATGTCATGCATGTGTCTTGTTCCTTCTGTTACAGGCTGATCTGCAACTATGAAAAATTCCGATTTTTTTCCTCGTCCAATGGAGGGCCCCGGAAAGGTGTCACGTGATGTGTGGAACGAATGCCGATATTTTCTACAGTGGAGGCCTGGGCACAGACCGCCGCCCGTTTCAAGACGTACCTTTCAAAGATGCTTATTCATAGCTAACAAAAAAAAGAATACATTTATAGGGTTTTGCACTGGAAAGGCTTGTAAATGGAAGTACATACACTTTCTTCTGATGTCATAACTGCCATTAATTCCACCAAAAAGTTCAATTGTTTTTTTCCGAGATACAGCTATAATATTTCTTTGTTTAATTGTGTTAAGATACACACCGCGACTTACTCAGATTGTTTGTGGGTTTTCTGCGGCTTTTCGTTATAACCGAATTAATAAAGTGTTTCGTTGTTGTTTAAATCTTGTGGCGTCTTCTAGTTTCCTATTTCCACCTCTCGTATAATTTTAGTCACAACGATTGGCCGCAAGGTTTGTCGTGATCAGATCTTTAAAAATTTCAAGTATGCCTGACGCATTCATTTGAAAATTCTGTCTTTAGGTTGTTAACGTTGTGAAGCCTCGAGATCCTCAGCCGGTATTCAGTTGGTATTAAAAGGAACTGAAATTTAACAAATTGACGTCAGCTTTTTATGCGTCTGTACTCTTATTGATGATAAATTGCGTCATAACACTGTCAAAGTGGCTGTGAAACCACGAGCAGCAGGCGAGTGGTTCCGAAGTAAACTTTGACAATGTTATGACGAAATTTATCATCAATAAGAGGGCAGACGCATAAAAAAATGGCGTCAATTTGTTTTTTACAATAACAAGACCCCTAAATGGTCAAATGCCGGGAATAAATGGGGAAAAGAAACCGTAAACAAAGATAATTGAATTTTATTCAAAATGACTCGAACATTGTCGATAGCTTTTCTCGCTTTTTCATTGGCTTCTTAAAAAAGCTTGCAAAAATTAAAATTTTATCCGTCTGTACTCTTACTGATGATAAAAATGAGCCAATCAGCGAGCGAGAAATTAGACAGTTATTGTAAAAAATATCCTTTGACAGCAAATCGTATTGCCGTATGAAGATGTTGTGCCATAACTAGATGGGATGAATGAGAATTACGTTCTAAGATCTGCTAACAAGCGATTCCATTGTTTATTAAACCTTATGATAGTTGGTCAAAATTTTGAGTGTCAGTCGAGAAGTATAATGAGGCGATGTATGCACAAAAATTTATTAATAGCCGAGAAACGAAAGAAATTTTTTTACTGATAAGTAGCTTGCGAGCAGGCTCTCGAACGGGGAGCACTCGGGCGAGCGGCGAAGCACTCTTCCCTCGATGCTCTGGCTCGCTTCGCTCGCGCGCGCGTGTGACTCATGGCTGAAAACTATCAACAAAATTATTATCAACTGATAAGCAGCCCCATCCGGAGTGTCTTGTTGTCATGTGGTGGTGATGATGATGATGACGACAATTATCGGATTACTGGTGATGACGACGAACTACTGAGTCCCGACAGTAGGCGTCACGTAACGCTTGGGTCGCGTGACAGCACAAAACTCGTCCACGTGTAACATGACACGTTATTATTTTAACATTTTTTGCACAGAGACCCCGATCAGTCAACTATTTGACTCATGGACGTCAGTAAATATAGATTCGCATTTATTTAATTTAGCTGGTGGTCTATTCTGATAGCGGTTATCTCTCTAATTAGCTCGGATGTCTGAAACATTTCGCGCCATGTCATACTGCGCATGTTAAGTAGCTATAAGTTTTAATTTATCTTCCACGTTTCGTCAATCTGCGCAGATTTGATGATTGTAGAGGGTCGCTTAACCTTTAAATGTTAGCATAAGCCTATCGAGCCGTTTATAGAGAACACGACTGATTATTATTATTATGCAAAGTAGGTGACGTTTGTCATGTTTTTGGTCGCTCAGCGATTGTGGGAAGTGTCGAGTGTCAAGTCAATTAACGCCGGGTCGCTCTTGGCAGAAAATCAGCTTTTAGGCATATGTCAGTCTGCTAACTGCTGTGACCATGTACGGCTTTGTGAACCAAGCTTTACAGGAGTTTGTGATACGAGAGAGCAGCTTCGAAACATGGGAGGAGATATTGTACGTATATTTACAGATCGGCATTTGTAAATCAACCATCGGCCTAAACCGATCGAGCGAAGCGGCCGACATTCACCAATCGAAAAAGTATTGATGTCAACATGTCAAGAATTTTTCTCTCGCGACTGACTGTGTGCCTTGATCTTTGCCTCGTAGGAAGAAAGCAAATCTCGATTTAGGAGAAACAGGAGAATTCAACCAGCGGAGAATATATGATGATCAAAATACGTTCGATCTGTTGAGAGTCGCTTCCGAAGTTCTCGGTGAGTACACATTGTGCCTGTGTACATGTATTTGCCCGCTTTTCCGGTCACCCCGGGGTTTCTGAATTTTCGCCTTCGCGCTTTTTGTGTTTTATAATTTTATGTGAAAATTATGATTTCCTAAATGGCGAAGTAATCATAACTACATTGCCTAGCGTGATAAAATAGTATTCGATCCCACCTTAAACTTACGAGATTTGTCTCAAGGCCCGCACGAACGTCTGTTGTTGTTTACATTGAATTTTCCCCTTGTAAAAAGTTTCAGCGCTGTGTCAAAATAAATGAATGGCTGTCTTGAAATTCAGTGAATATGATAGCCCTTCTCTGGATGAATTTACTTCATAACAAGCAAACTAAGACTTTTTAATATCCATTTGATTATGTGTTATTTGTTTCGCTTAAATTCAAATGAGGGTGAAAATGTCACTGAGCTGCTTTGAAGATTAAGGGAACCTTTGAATACAAAGCGATGCACTGAGCGCTGAAGTGGGAGACAAATTTTAAAAGCAAATCGATTCATAATCAGTGACTGATCGAAGAATGATTATAGATTAAAAAGACCCGATGTTGCTTTGCTTTACGTAAGAAATCTTCAGACATCTGGCACTGTGGAGAGACAGTCATACGATGCATGCGGTTGTATTAATACGATTTCAAATTGACACTTGACCTAGAAACCTTGTCAAAACTGAAATACCTTTTTCACAGGGAAACAGTAAAAACATGAGAGGCTTATCACTGGAATGATATCTTTTTAGAAGATTTAGTAGCGTTAGCTGGGGAGGGGGACTGTTAGGGGTGTTTTTTTCATGCTGCAATTTCAGAAGGTTCGTCACATTTGCTTTCAGAACTGTGTAGTTGCAGAAAATATCCATACTTCCCCCACAGAAGGGTTTTTTTCTAAGACCACCTCCCCACACACACACCCCTGGAAATTTCAGTTAAGCTTCATAGATTTCTTTAATTTTTTTGGTCTTACAAAACCCCCACCATCCCTGTGAGGGAGTATGGATTAATATCTAGAGCTGCACTTTTGAACACAAGTCATATTATTCATCACCACGTGTTACAAACTTCCATATTGCTGTTTCAAGGCTGTGTTGCATTTAAAATTCCACCTAAACAGGACCTCTAAACCAGCTGACATTGTCGCACCTGCAGGGTTTTGCTCCCAACTAGGATTCCCTGGTGAGACTGAAGTGGGAGGGGAGAAAAATGGACAGGACTTACAGTATCACCACAGGCGGCCCAGACGTTGAATATGATTAATACGTGACATTCTGCTGTTGGCGATTGTGTTACAATTTTAGCCGTTTATAAGACAACGTATGAGAATGCTTCAAAAATTACTCTAAATGCTGCATGTAGAAAATAATTTGAATAAAATGGCTTACCTTATGTTTGCATTGC